GGGTCCTCTCAAGGACTATGGTAAATCACCTGACGGGAAGTTCTTCAAGTACTTTGTGATTGGTGCTTTGAGGATTCCTAAGATTGAAGGTGGAAAAGGCCATCCAGAAGTCCGGGGTCATCCAATCCCTCCTGAAGGTGATCCTGAGTGCCCTGATGAAGACATCTTGTCTGAGGAGGAGATTGCAGAGGATGATCCCAATGTTGAAAGTGATCATCTACCGGAGGCTGAAGTTGAAAAAGAAAAGGAGCGCTGGAAGGAGCTCATGGAAATGTTCAAGGAACCCATTGAGACCTCGACCCTTTACTTTGCGATCCCGGTTAACAACAAGAAGGCGGCGACGATGCTACCGGCGGTCCAGAAGATTGTCTTGGACGTGAAGGCATTGGGATATCCGGTTACCCGTCTTCATAGCGATCGAGGAGGAGAGTTTCGTGGACATTTGGTACGACGGTGGGCCTTGTCTCAGGGGATGTGGCCAACGACAACCTCGGGATCCGAGTCGGCTGCCAATGGTGTTGCTGAGTCCGGGGTCCGCTACCTCAAGCGTCGTGCACGTGTGTTGATGGACAGCGCAGGTGTTCCAAAGTGCAATTGGCCTACGGCAATACAGTATGCAGCCGCTCAGCAGCGGTGTGATGTAACAGGCATGTTGTCACCAATGCCTGTCGCCTATGGGGCTCGCGTCTACGTGAAGACCAAGAAGTACAAGACTGGTGCGGTGGAGGATTTTGGCCCCCACTGGACCCATGGGCGCTATGTGGGCCCATCCACAGATGTTCGGGGTGGCCATGTGATCTTGAAGGAGTCTGGAACCTTTGTTCAGACCACCCATGTGAGGGTTACGACTGACCCTCCACCTCTCGACAAGGTCGCTCCCTCGATCGTCGTTGAAGCCCAGGATGAGAGTACAGATGCACCCCTTGGCGAAGAACCTCCTCTACCACCACCTCATGAACCACCACCGAGGACTCGAATGCGATCAAAAGGGCCCAGGGCGGCTAAGGTGGGTGAGCTCTATGAGTTGATTCCTGGATTGTCTGAGATTCAGAATGACATAACGAGTTCGACTGAGGAGGAGGCGGTTTTGAAGTACTTGAGGTCAGAGGAGATTGAGTATGTGGAGTCGGTTGCCAAGGACCTGGTTGTCAATGAGAAGTTCACCGCAGGGGACAGTGCTCATCTGCTTGGCCTCTTTGCCGGGATGTGTGGGAACTTGAAGGTTCCTCGAGCTCCGGAAGGTCAAGGAATGGTGTTGGGAGCATTTGTTCATGGTGGCTCGTTTGGAGTAACCCGATATGGCCGTGATCTTCCCTGGACAACAAAGTACTTCAATCTCTACATGATGAGGAAGATCATGGAACGCTGGCCGGGGACAAAGCCAACCTGGTCCGCACTTGTGATTCAGGGTTCAGATCAAATTCCCCGACATCGTGATGTTCACAATGAAAGGGCGACGTTCAACTATGTGTTGGAGTTAAAGTCTGAGGCGGTGAATGGTTTATGGGTTGAAAACAAGGGCGAAGAAAGGTGTGTTGTTGGAGGAGAGAACCCCGTCGATCACCACTATGAGACACCAGAAGGAGCAGTTCATGAAGGCTGTTTGGTTGATGTTACAGAATCACCAGCGGCGTTTGACCCGCGGATCCCCCACGCGTATGTTCAAGATGGTGGGAAAAGGTGGTTCCTTTCAGCCTATACTCCACAAGGGGTGTCGAGATTGGGTGCTACGGACAGGGACTACCTCAACAGCTTGAGTTTTCCTCAGCGACGTGATGAAGATGATGTTCCCTATGGAGTGCTGGAAACCATACCAGCACTAAGGACAGCTTCCTTGCCTTCAGAGGATACACTGAGTGGATCTCGTGTGAGTATGCAAGATGTGGAACCTGTTACCATAGGAGATTGTGAAGCTACCTTGTGTGATTGGGGCTTCTATGTGGAGGATACCGTTGAGGAGGAGTACGCCCCCCATCAATGCCGTCAAGTGAGTTGCCTACGTCAGGTGTGTTCATCAGATGATCCTGGGGTAGAGCTGAGTATGCTGGTTCAGTCTGTCCAGGAGCTCGGTGAGGAGGAGATAGGTCCCGAGGTGACGGATGAAATGCTGGACAGCATGGAGCATTGGAGCTCTATGGGACTGTTTGATGTTCCGCGGATTTGCAAGGTTGAACCTGAGTACACCTCAAACATTGAGGACTTGATCGGCGCTGCGGTTCAGCAGCGGCTTCCACTTCGTCACACCTACAACGTGAGCCCCTCTGAGGCGAAGTCTGATATTGAAAAGTGGAGAAGCTCTATTGTCAAGGAGCTGGGTGTGGTTGAGAAGGGGTTTCAGAGGATCAAGTCGAGTGACCTGAATCAGTTGAGGAACAATCACACGGTTCAGGAACTTCCTTCGAAGTTGGTTTTTACGGTGAAGCCTCCTACGAGCTCTACGGCGACACCACAAGGGTATGGCGAGGACGATGAGTCCCTTTACTGCAAACGCAAAAGCAGAATATTATGTTGTGGCAACTTTGCCTCGGATGAGGGCTACGACTTGTTTGCTGGAGGCGTTGCTGCAGAAAGTCTTAGATGTGTCCTAGTGTTCACAGCGAGTGAGGGCTGGATGATCGGGACGGTGGATGTAACTGGAGCGTTTATGTTGACACCGTTGTCGAGGGCGGAGGGACAGACGCTTTATGTTATACGACCACCAGCTGCTCTCATCCAGCTGGGTTTGGCCGACAAGGACGAAAGGTGGCTGTTGACGCATGGAATGTACGGCTTGCGCCAATCCCCGAGGCTCTGGTCTGAGTACCGCGATTCAGAGCTGAAGCAGTTGGTTGTCGAGTACAACGAGAAATCGTGGTACATGAAGCCGGGCACTGCCGAGCCCAACGTCTGGATGATCTATGAGGTTGGAGTTCCATTGGAGCAGGGATCTGCTGGATTGGTCCTGCTGTATGTCGATGACATTATGCTGGCCGGCCCTCGTGACCTGGTGTTGGCTATGTCGTCATCGATTGGCCGGTTGTGGAAAACGTCTGAGCTCGACTTGTTGACTCCAGGACGTGATCTACGATTTCTTGGGTGTGAGATCTCAGTTAGTGACGATGGAAAGGTGTTCTACGTTCACCAGCGGCCCTACATCGAGGAGGTCCTTCGTCATCACGAAATACCGGCCACTACCCTATCATATATCCAGGCTCCTCGTGAAATGGTGACCTTTGAGGCCTTTGAAGACGCGGAGCAAGGGACGGAAGAGCAAGTGAAGGCCGCACAACGACTGTGCGGCGAACTACTTTGGCTTGCTCAGCGGTCCAGACCTGACATCAGCTACGTTGTCAGTGCTATGGGATCCTTGCTCTCCCGCGCGGCAGCGCGGTGTACGGCTATTGGGATGAGGCTGCTCGCCTACCTTCAGCAGACTAAGCACCTGGCTTTAGCGATGAGGGCAACCACCGACGAGCTGGTCGCTTTTTCGGACAGTTCTTTTGCCCCCCAGGGAACAAGGAGCTTTACGGGTGCAGTGCTGGCATGGAGAGGCTCGCCAGTGTCCTGGCGGGCGGCTAAACAGCCGTTTACATGCCTGAGCACAGCAGAGTGCGAGCTTGTCGCAGCTATCGAGGCCCTCACCATGGCCAAATCCCTTGAGGCAGTGATCAGGCAGCTGGATCCTGTTGAGCGCCCCATTGTGCTTGGTATCGACAACCAAGCTGCGATTACGATCGCACAACCTTCATCGACAGCATCGTGGAGGACGAGGCATTTGAGAGTGAGGGCATCGTATGTACATGAGCAAGTTGCCTCCAAGCAGGTGATTTTGAGGTATGTCCCGGGCAAGCAGCAATGGGCGGATCTCCTCACAAAAAGTTTCCCGAAGCAGAGACTCTTCGAGCTGTTGGGTTTGTGGGGATTTATCGATCGGGCCAACGAGGTAGCCCGAACCGCGATGATGAAGGCAATGCTGATGTGTTTGGTGATTCAAACTGCCCGGGCCCAGGAGCAACATGAACCCCTGGCTATCAATACCTCCTTCGAGCTCTATGTCATGATCGCTGTGCTTGGAATAGCAGTTGTGGGATTGTGGGAATTTCTATGGCTTTGTGTTGATCGATGCTGTGGTACCCCGCAAGAATCAAGATCGGCGAGGAGACTAAGGCGTTTGCAGGAAGCCGTGCACAATGAACTTGAGGTTCAAATGAATGGCATCGAGGAATCCTTGGCGGCTTCCCCGGTGGCTACTACTCCGACGCCGGTGGCTACTACTCCGACCCCGGCGTCTACTACAAGTACTCCTGCGCGGCGATCTACCCCACGACCACGTGCTACCCCGGAGCGATCTACAGCTCGGAGCTCAACGGATGTACCGCCGATGCCTACGTTCGCTCCCACCGCAGTCACGGTAGAAACTGGAGTTCAGACGGATTTGCAGTGGCCGCCGCCGCGGCCTCTGATTTGTTACCAGGACCGACCGGTTCCAACACCAGTCCCGGATCCGATAAACTGGAACTATCCGTTGTATGTCAGCCCTCACGGCGACACCTTCCACACCTACGAGAGCTGTTGGGGATTGCGGAACACCCGAGGACGACCAGTTCGCTTTTGTGCATGCTGCCGAGAGAATCACGGCAAGTCACTTCGAGAACGATAATTGGGATTGGCATACTGAGTGTAAAGTGTCTTCGTGTGCCCCTCAGACAAGGAGGAGTGCTGAAAGCTGTCGGATGCCAACCCATGCATGAAGCCGAGAAGGCCCGAAGAGCGCATGCTGGCATGTCATTTAGTGCAAAGCACAAACGACATAGATATCAGACGATAACCAGACATGTGCCTGCTGTAGCGCGAAAAAGACTTCGATCACCAATTCGTTTTGCGGTCATGGCTAGTGACGTCCCAGCACCTTGTGCCTCGGCTGCTTCATCCCTTCAGCACCTAAACCCCTAAAACCCCTAAACCCCTAAACCCCTAAACCCTAAACCCTAAACCCCTAAACCTCAAGCAGAAAGTCCGAGGTTCCTCCAGGCGACGGAGGGCGGAAACTGCCGAGAGGTCGAGGCAGCAAGCAGCTTCCAGGATTCCCTGAGGCAGGTTTAGGGTTCAGGGTTTAGGGTTTAGAGTTTAGGGTTTACATTGGGGTTTTGGGGGCGTGTCAGGTGTATCTAGTGGTGTATTCCAATTCTCAATGCTATTGATGTTGATGTTATTTGTTCTCAGGATTGTTGTTTTCAAGTTTGTGTCTACTGTTATCTGGGTTCTTGTCATTCTTAATGTTTGTTTCTTCTGATTGTGTGTATGAATATATATATATATATATATATACATATATATATATATTGGATATACACGCAATGTGACTGTTTGTGTATGATGAGGGGGAAGGGTTTCGGGAGCGCTTGGGGATTAGAGTTTGGGAGATGTCTTCGATCTATCGGTGTGTTTTTTCAGGGCTTTATTTGGGGTTTGCAGCGTTTTTCAGTGCTTTATTTAGGGTTTATATGCAGCGTTTTTAAGGTTTTTTTTTTTGGGGGGGGGGGGGTTGCATCGTTGATCGTTGTTTCACCTGTTAGGCTCTGTCGTTACATCTCCCATTGCCTCCAGCAGAGCCGAGCCGGTGGTCGCAGAAAAACTTTTCGTTGAGAATCACCTGGGTTTGGAGTACCATACTTGAATACTTTTTTGGTACCTGTTCCTGAAAGGAAACATTATGAACAAAAGTCTATACTTTTTTGCCCTGGTTACTTCAAAGGCCAGATCATCAACCCGAACCCTAAACCCTAAACCCTCAACCCAAACACATGAAGCCCTGCACTGCGAAGAGATCGAGGGGAAAGCTTTCAGCTCTCATTGGGATCTGCGCAGTGCATCAGAACAAACTTTCCGGTTGCAGTCCCTATATGAAAAGCTTTACCTTAACCCCAGAAAACCTACCGTTCAAAGAACCTATATATGTATATATATATATATATATATATATATATATATGCTCCATATAGCTCACACACCCCCCCCCAAGACCTACCGCGAGGTGCTTCGGCTAGCAATGGGTAGTAGAACATGTAAGGATTTGAGGAAACCATTAGGATAAAATACACTCATACATAAACAATGGAAATGTATATCGTGTATAATCAATAGCTGAATACACTGTAATGACCTACGACGGCGCGACATCGCCGTTGGCGGAGTTGGGCAAGCTTCAATGCCTGCAATTGTTTAATAGGTACTGCCTAAATGTTCCGGATATTCATAACTCTGGTCATATAATGACCATAGGCATAACCCGAAGACAGGACCAAGACAGAACAGTGTCTACATCCTACGTAAGATCGTTAGATGCGCCGGGTAACTTTGTGTTTGTCATTGTCTGTTTTTAATTTTGTTCATGTACTCATAGGCATAACCCAAAGACGGGACCAAAACAGAACGATGTGTGCATCCTACCTAGGATCGTAATGAGGGTTACATGTGCACACATGTTTATTCTGTGTGAAGCTCTTAGGTTACTCATGCGCCAATATGTATAATAGCTATTACTAGTGCGAATACTAATACTGATACTAAGATTATAAAATTCCTACGAATAAGGATATTACTGTTCATAACATAATAGGCTTAATGGTTAATACTAGTATTAAAAATTACACTACTAATTCGAATAGTAGTGCTGATGGGAATATTAACACTCCTGGGGATACTAATACGCATATTCTTATTAACTGTTCTCAATATGAATACTAATAGTACTAGTTGTTTGGAATACTAATACTTGTCCGAATATTCATACCAATACTCAGGCTACTGCGATTATACATAATAGGACATTAATATGGGTATTCGTATTAAGGTCAGCATTTCCTTCGAAAGTATTCATATGCGCATCATAATTCATCTTAATACTCGTACTGATATGAATTAGTATGATTACAAATACTTTTACGAAGACGGGTACTTTCAGTAATACCGATACTAATATGAATACTAGTGTTCCTACGAATATTAAAAAACATACCCATATTGATAGTAATTTTATTTTTTATTTGTTACCAATATACACGCAAATGCTAACATTAATACTAATATGCACATAAGTGATACAGTTCCTCCGCAGATTAATGCGCATAGTCTTATTAATTATTCTCAGTATTTATATTCACATTAAAAAACCTACACTAACATGAATAGCAGTATTACCACTTGATACTCCAGATAATACGATTATGCATAGTATGAACAGCGATACTGCTATTGATACCAATATTAATGCTCCTACGAATACTAATAATCACGTTCAAACCAAATACAAAAAAACAGACACATCAATGTACCAAAGAATCTGTATTTTCACATACCAATAAATAATATACTCGTATACTACTATTCCAATGTTACCATAGACTATGAGACTATACACTGGTTAATATTAACACTAAGAATAAGGCAGAGACTAAGACCAAGACTAATACGAATACTAAAACTCACACTAGACATTAACAATACCATTAGTACACCTATTGTATAGACTTATATTCAGACGAATACTAACGCTGACGTTGGAATTGACATTGACACTGACACCAACACTAACACTAACACGAATCAACACGCTAGAACGCAGATACTAATACTAACACTAATGCCTAATGCACATCTGAAGACTACTGCGCGTAAACAACGAAACCATTTCCGATCAAGCATGCTGCGCGCTGTATTGGCTCTAAGGCTCCGAGAACCAAAAATCCAAAAAACCAAAAATCCAAAACCTTTGTCAGGGGGGTCGAAACTTTTGGATTTTTTGGTTTTCCTAGGGTTTTTTTGGTTTTCCAACAGAAAACCAAAAAAATCCAAGGTTTTTTTGGTTTTCCAGCAGAAATCCAAAAAAATCCAAGGTTTTTTTTGGTTTTCCAGCAGAAATCCAAAAAAACACAGGTGTTTTTTGGTTTTTCACGAGAGACACAGCAGAAAAACCAAAAAAACCTTGTGTTTTTTGGTTTTCCACCGAAAATCCAAAAAAAGCCATGGTTTCGCCAAGGCAAAGCCCAAAAAAACAAAAAAGACCTAGGAAAACCAACAAATCCAAAAGTTTCGGGCCCCTCAGAAAAGCTTTGGATTTTTGGTTTTTTGGTTTCCGCCGTCGTATCGTATGGTTTCTTTTAATGTTTCTTGCTTATGAATACAGGCATATGAATTTGAAAGCGGACATGAGTAGGCACGACGTTGTAAAGAGACATGACTTCACATCAGCCATGATAGAGAAGGTATCATCCCCGAAAAATACGCAAAACACGAATCGTATGCCAAACGCGAATCCCTGCCAAGAGAAGGTTTTGACGGTATTCACAATGGAAAAGAGGCCGAGGTAGGTCATGGGGGGGGGTGTGTCCATATATATATATATATATATATATATATACATACATACATACATAGAGGGAGACAGAGAGAGAGAGAGAGAGAGAGAGAGAGAGAGAAAGAGAGAAAGAGAGCAAGAGAGAAAGAGAGAAAGAGAGAGAAAAATAGTTAAACAATGAGGAGACCTAACGGAAAGGCATGTTCTTTCGGGTCCCGGTAGAGGGTTTCGTGTGTAGGTTTCGCTAGTTTCGGGGATCTCTGGGCTTCTCCGCGAGCGCGAGGCAGCTGGACCCAGCGGTTTGCAACATTACCAGCTGGCAGCTGGGCGCTGTTTAACAGGGGCTTTGCAATAGGGCCCCAAAAAAGCACATAAGCAAAAATTAGGATAGGGATATCCCATATAAATCCCCTTATAATGAAGCCCCAAAATGTGTGGATATCCCTATAAAATGCACATGCTTATGTGCTTTTTGGGTTCCCTATACAAGGCAGGATGCAGGTAGGCGGGGAAATCCCAAATTAAGAGTCTTGATATAAGGGATCCTTAATCGTACCTAGCTTCCTCCGACGCTTTTGAGGCCTCCAAGTTTAGTTTCGTGTTGAGTCTGTCTCACTACTGCTGCCATTTCCCAGCTCAAAGCAAGTCTTGTTGTTTCGGAAGCAGGGGTTCAAAAGCAGAAGCATGTGCGATCATAGGCGAATCATAGGTGCATGCGAAGCGATTATGCGCCTGAACATTTTAATTTCCGGTGTCTTCGAGGCCAATCTGCAAGAAACAGTGCGCACACAAAACAAAGGCGGTGTTGTAAAACCACCGTGACTAGCACAGTTCATTAACAATGATATCGTGTTTAGGTCCCTATGGCCCTATGTCATCCATATGGTAGAATATGTATCCCCATGACCCTGAGCCTTCTGATCCCCATATTGCTGCGACGCATTCATTCAACATGATGCATTGATATCGCCCCTGATTTCTAGGGCGGACTTGATATACACACGCCGTTTCCGCGAGCTCCCTTGAACATTGCATGTCATGCTCTTGCCAAAACCTCGTCGGAATCTGAACGCTAAGCGCAAACCCTCAGACCTGCAATCTCTTAAACCCCGAAACCGCAAACTGGGTACTTCAAGAACCCTCAACTCTTCCTGGGCAAGCCGAAATCCTTTCACCTTCATGGCCATCACGAAAAGTACCTGTGTACTTCATCCCTACATGGAGCAAGTCTAAACCTCAAACCCCCTAAGCCCTTAGCCCTACAAACCCTGAATAAACCCCGGCCTCAAAAGAAAACCTAAACTTAAACCCTAAGCCCAAAGCCGCCGAGGAGCGATCTGAAACGCACATACCCCTGTGCGGAGGAGGACCCTATGGCAGCCGTTTGCGCCACTAAGCCGCTTGAGCAAGTCCTAGAGAGCCCAATACCCCTTAGTTGAGGAATATAGCTTAAATCATAACATGAAGCCCCGTATGATTTAAGCCATATTCCTTAATTAAGGGGTATTATAATCCCCTAAACCCTAAGCCTATAGATCCCTTATAGATCCCTTAAAGGAACCCTAGGTATTCCTGAATTAAGGGGTCACATAAGCCATATTCCTTAATTAAGGGGTATTGGGCTCCCTGGGAAGTCTGGAGTCTCCATTGTCGTCGCTATATCCCAAATACACCGTGGGTCCGAAGGACCCAAGAATTGGGTTTTAAAGGGCTACATAGGGTTCTATAAGGTTCCCTTAAAAGGGTTACTATAAGGGTTCTACTATAGGGGCCTTAAGAACTAGGTACTTGGTTTTAGGATAGTAGTTATGAAGGTTAGGAATTTGGAAAGTGTATGATGGTTAGGTACTTGGACCCTTTGGGGATACACTCTGAACCCTCAACCCTAAAACCTACAAGCCTGACCATCAGAGGGGTACCTATAGGCTCATACCCTACCCCTTTTTTAAGGTACCTACTTTTCTATATAGGAGATCCTAACCATAAAACTAGGTAACCTAAAAAAGGGGTAGGGTATGACCCTCTAGGTAAGGCCCACAGAACCTAGAGTCTCCATTGTGATTCCTTTTTGGGGATAGGATCCAACTATAAGACTTCCAACTATAAGACGGGTTAAAAAAAATGGAACTACGATGGGGACCAGAGGGTGTGAGTAAGTTCTGTTTAGAGAAGGATTGACGATGGACAAACTCATGCATTCAATTTTCACTTTACGATTGGCATCACGGGGCCGTGTTGCCTTACCTACGTACCGTGAGTATATGACAGGAATTGTGGGCAACCTATATTTCTGTAGCTGCTCTAGCCCTCTTTATCTCTGGCTCCGAAATTTTGTGGGATCCTTCGCAACTCAGTGGTAGCGCAAGCCCGAATCCCTCAAATGGAACCTCAACCTCTCTGCCGTGAGCCGTAACCCTCAACTTTATATAAACCGAAACCTGAAGCCATTCATCCGCCGTAACACAGCAGCAACCCATAGTAACCCTCGCAATAGCCCGCATACCGACCCTTACAGCAGCCCGTATAGTCACCTCTTACAGCACCGCCGACACTAGCCCTAAACCCTGAGGCTCGAAAGCCTAAACCCCACCTCCTAAACCCCTTAAACCCCTAAAATAAAAGCCCTTAAACCCCATTTCCTAGACCCCAAAGCTCCTAAACCCAAGCCCCTAAGCCCTACTTGTGACCCCAAACCCTACAAAATAGTAGGTTATGACCCCTTGATTAGTGGGTAGAACCATTAAAACGGTAGGTTTTCGGATGCCCAGGTAAAACCTAAACTCCCAAAAGCCCCAAAGTGCTTAGGCCATGGTCTTCCGACGTGCGGCCGCGTCGCTGTGGAGCAGCCAAGTGAAGGTCTTCGTATCGGACTGCCCCTGGGCCAGCCTATGGCTTTCATTGGTTTAGGATTTAGGGTTTAGGGCTTTAGGGTTTAGGGGTTACAATTTAGGGTTTAGGATTTAGGGTTTTATTGGTTTATGGGTTTAGGGTTTAGGGTTTAGGGTTTAGGATTCTATCCCAAAGGCTCCATGTACCTTTATGGTAGATACTTGGGCCTTAAAGGGATCCCTACATAGGTACTTTAAGGCCTAAGTATATACTCTATGGGTACGTGGAGCCATAGGGTATGGCTTTCATTCATGGGACTTAGCAGTTTAGATGTTTGGGCTGTATCTGGATTAGAGTTGAGAGTTTGGGGTTTAGGGTTTAGGGTTTAGAGAGTTTGGGTGTGGGGTTTGGGGTTTGAGGTTTAATTGCCAGTCTGAACAACCATGTTTGACTGCATGCTAAGCAGCCCTTCTCAAAAGCAGTCATACATGCTCGATATGTATGAACTCTCCTCTAGCAAAGGGCTCACGTCGTTTGCTGGTTCCTGACATCCTAAGCCGAGAACATGACCTAGCTTCGGGACTTTACAATGCAGAGGTTGACTCGACTCTGAATGAGGTGACTACACTGCCCCCAAAACACCAAAATTATCCCCTTAACCGTGAGCATGAGGTGGCCAATCAGACACTAGAAGCCCTGTAAGCTAAACCCGAAACCCCAAACCCTCAACCTGCTTCTCCAAAACGCCCGGCGGAATACCGCTTTCGGAATCCTTGCGAGACGGAGAAGGGTCGTTCAACAAAAACCATTCATCCTGAGGTGACTACACTCTCTGAACCCTGAACCCTAAACCCTAACCCCTAAACCCTAAACCCTAAACTCTAAACCCTAAACCCTAAACCAAAAAAAAAACTTAACACTAAACCCGAAACCCCAAACTCTTAAGCTGAGGTGACTACACTCTCTGGGAGGGAGCAGTATCGGAGGAGGGCCTGCACGTGGAAATCTCTGGGCCCTACCTGGAGCTTCAGAGGATGGCTGGGTTTAGGGTTTGGGTTTACCTAGACCCCAAGCAAGCTACTCTTTTAAGGACTTATATAACAAAATTATTTCAAGGAGCCCCACAAAGGTAGTTATTTGGGGTTAAGGTCGTGCTTGGGATTTAAAGTCCAAAACCCTAGAACCCCAATGACCGAATCCCTGATGCTGATGACTCCGAGGAGTTTAGAATGGTGTAGAATTTACACAGGGCTTTGACAGGAAAAACCTAAACAGAACCAGAGCCCTAAATCCTAGACCCTAAACCTTAATAAAGCCTGTCAGGAAGCTGTCTGAACTCCAAAAGTCGGGTCGACTCGTTTGCTTGGCATCCCGGAACTCTTCCGATGAGCAGATCGAGAGACTGCTGAAGGACGCCGTCTGGCATGGGAAGTATCTAAGGGATTGGTCCGGGCTGTTGGACTTGCAGGAGTTTGCAGGAGCGTACAGGGAACTCCAGAAAGTTGGAAGGATCCCCTATAATTTACTTTAAAGGGGGTTACGATAATGATATTCCAACTTTCTGGCTTCTACTGTAAATCCTAAGCCCTGAACCCTTGGTGCTTCGGAGTTTCGGGCTGTGGAGTTTCACGGTCCAGGGCCCGGGTTCTGCATTTTGCCATTATTCCTGTCTGTGTATGACGGTGGTGAAGATGATGAGTATAATGAAGAAGATGATGCGATATTGTCTGATGTGGATAATGATGGCGACGACGATGATGTTGCGCTTGGCCAGCGTCATCCTGATTCTCCTGTTCGTGTCTATGTGAGAACTTGTTGTCCCAGCAAACGAACAGCCTGTTCACTGTTCTCACTCTCACTCTCACTCTCTCTCTCTCTCTCTTTGTTCTCTGTCTCTGTCTCTCGCTCTGGCTCTCGATCTCACATCGGGCAAGTTGGGTTCTGTCGGATCCGACATCCCTTCCTCCCCAACCCGCGAAGGAACGCGCCTCTGAGTGCGCGCTGCTGTGGGATCAGGCACAGCGCGGTTCCCGGTTCATAGCGAATCTTCAGCCAGGACGGGGCAACGAAGGTAGCCATATAGTAGCAGCACCTGTCCCCCGGAGTTGTCGGATATTTTTGGTGTTTTGTGATAATCGTACGTGCATCCTGAATCGTTGGGCGATGCAGTGTGTAGTCGGGGAATTCCCCAGGAATGAATATCGACAACGTTTCACCTGTGATGCGCGAGATGTTACTCACCTACAGAACTTATGCTCGCGATGCTGAACCGTCTGGCCCGAAACATGTACCCATACCCCCAAGTTACCCATGATTATTCACCGCCCTTCTCGGTAGTTTCGACTGCCTGGTTACGTCTCCCAGTGGCACGATTTCCCTTTTGTGGCCAAACCGGGGCCATTTGTTTATTCCTAGACTGCGGAGATCCAGGCCTGCTCAGGTCCGTGACTGATCCGTAGACTCCTTCATCGAAGTTGCGCGTGTTGATGGATGCAGCCGACATGCCCCAAAGGCCCTACTGCTGATGATCTAAATCCTGCATTACCTTAATGACCCTAGACTATGGGAAGTAATTTTGGTATGTTCCTCATTACGGCTATTGCAGGATTTATATCATCAATCGTATTAACCCTACGCACTGTAGCCGCAGCTTACAGCCCCAACGAATCTACGGCTGAAGCGCCCCCCTACACTCCGCTCTGAAGCAATAAACCCCAAACCCTAAACTCTACGTCGTAGACCTCCTAGACCCTTATAAACTCAAGTTCCGAGACCCCTAAACTCTAAATCCTAGACCTCCTAAATCTTAAACAGACGCTAAATCCTAGACTTCCTAAACCCTAGACGTATGCGCAGGTGGTGGCGACCGAGGTGGGCGATTGCATGATCCGGGGACTTAGTAAGGAGTAGTAAAGAAGCCATAATTTTGCCAAACTATTCCTTGGGGCGAGTTTTAATGCATAGACTATCGTATAAGAAGCCATAATCTAATGGCTGCTAGTAGTATTCCTTGCGGCTAATACTGTTTCTAACATCATTCGGTAACGACAAACCCCCTTTGCAACCCCTAGGGAAAAGCCTATGAAACTTGGACCCCTGGGAGGCACGTGGAGGTTGCAAATAATAAACCCCAAGCGGGAAAACTACTACCCTAAACTGTAAAGGGCCGCAACGGCAAAGGGTCCGAAACCCTAAACCCTCTAAGCCCTAAACCCCTCATGATTCAGCCCTAATTAAACTTTACCAGCCCTAAGTAAATCTACAAATCCTACCCTTACCGCAACCCTACTCTAGTCAGTAAGTATCGTCCAGAGAATAGAGGAAACGTTGAGCCTACCCTTACCCCTAAATTTTAGACTGTAAGTCTTAAACCCTACTGCACCTGAACCCAAAACCCCTAAACCCTAAACCCCAAAACCCCAAAACCCTAAACCCCAAAACCCTAAACCCCAAAACCCTAAACCCCAAAACCCTAACCCCCTAAACCCTAAGCCCCGAAATCCCAAAACCCTAAACCCCAAAACCCTAAGCCCCAAAACCCCAAACCCTAAACCCCAAAACCCTAAGCCCCAAGACCCTAAACCCCAAAACCCTAAACCCCAAAACCCTAAACCCCTAAACCCTAAACCCTAAACCTCCACCCGAAAACCTGCAAGCCCCATCCTTACAGGAGCAAAGCCCCATTCGAACCCCGGGTCTCCCCCAAGCAGTGTTTTGGACCTACCCCTGGGGATCAAAATAGCCCAGAACGGTTGATTAAAGGGATCTAGAAGGGTACCTTGAAGGGGTTCCTTCAAGGGTTCTATAGGGTTTTAGGGTTCAGGGTTTAGGGCTTTAAATCCTGCATTACCCAAAAAAAGGAATATACCATGATTCCTATAGTTTCGAGTCCTTAAGGTAATGCAGGGTTTATATCATCAACAGGAAGCCTCATATAGTATGGTCTTTGGGCCCAAAAGCCTTACTATATGAGTCCTTAGATCCCTATAAGCCCTATAGATCCATTTAGAGGACCCCTTATAGATCCCCTTAAAGGAACCCTATATGAGTCCGTAGATCCAGAGGGTATCAGGATCCTAACAGTCAAACTTGCGAAACAAAGAAATGGAGCTACAATGGAGATAGCAGGAATATACTTGGAGGTTCTTGGGAAGTGACAATTAGGGCGTATAAGTAGGGTGACTACGATACTGATAGCCTATAGATACGTCCACTTTTACCGTAAGGGTCCATGTACCCAAATGGTATATACTGTGGCCCAAAGTACCGATCTAGAGACTACTGAAGGGCCAAGATGCATGCTATTTGGGTACATGGACCCTTAGGGTTCACTACTACTCAGCGGTAGGCCCTAGACCTTAAACCTTCCGAGTTGAGGTGCCCTAAACCCTAAACCCTTAAGTTCAAATCAGTTCAAAACCCTCTAAACCCTAAACCCTAAACCCTGAGGATTAAAACCCTAAAACTGTAGCCCTATAACTGACCATGAACTTCCAAGTAGAGCCCTAATTCCTAGACCCAAAACCCCAAACCAGATACTTATAGCCTATAGATAGCTTACTTTTAATTACGGGGCTTATAAGTAGGATATGGATACTCCACTTATAACTACGCATGAACTTCCAAGAGGTGCACCCCGGCGCGAAGCCCGAGAGCCTCCGGCGGCTCTCAGAAGCTTTGGACCTTCCCCTTGAGGCGTAGCTCGGCTCAATATAGCGGTTTAGAGATTTTAAGGGGTTTAGGGCTTAGGGGTTTGTGGGGGCTTGAAGGGATTTGCAGCGGTCTGCAAGGGTTTGTAAGGGTTTCGGGTGGTTTGGTGGTGTTTCGGGTATCTTCGGTGGTTTAAGGGATGTTGGGATAGGGCTTGTGGGTCTCAGGATGTAGGGTTGAGTGTTCAGGGGTCTACATGAGAGTTTTGTATTTAATTAGGCTTTATAGGATTTGTGAGACCTCGATAGGCTGTGGCAATAGGGATTTATCACAGTCGTGTAGTCTAGAGCTTCACAAGGGGGTTGCAAAGTTGAACTTCCCTCAATGAGGGGTATCTTTGAACAAACACAGGACTCTGTTGTTGCGATTTACGGTACAGTCCTTAAGTAGTCCTTAAGTCGGGCGTTTCGAGGGTTATGCAGGTTGTAGGATTTTGGAGATGAGGCTGGAAAGCATGGGATGTCGGGTCTATAAAGTGTACGGCCTTGAGGGGTGTAGCTTCTAGAGTTTACTTGTACAGGTAGCAGCTTTGCGCTTTGATCCAGACTTTAACTTTTTGTGTACACGATTCTTGTTGGAGGGTTGTTGCGCCTTCAGATGAAGACCGCATGTTTGTGTATAACGCTGAGTCGTCAGAGGGTTGGAAAACAGGGCAAGTGTGGGAGAACATTATTCGTTATGGGGCGGCGGGCTCTGTTTAAATCCCTAAGGGTCCATGCACCCAAATAGCATATACTCTGGGCCCAATGCACCCACATAGGGAGTACTTTAAGGCCAAAGCATATACTATTTGTGTACATGGACCCTTATGGAATGGAGGTTTGAGGATGAGGTTATAGAAGCTGTCAGACCCAACTCGCAGTTTCAGTTTATGAGGCATTGACTTCTCATGAAGCAGTACAGTATTCAGAACTTAGGACTGTTTAGGGTGCATGAAATTAGGGGCATGCCAGGACAAACTTGAAAACAGGTTCAGTACCTTGACCGTCCATCTACCCAAAATCCCTGTTGTTACGGGCCATATTAGCCAATAGTTCAGGTTAACATGAGTGTCGTGGTGCAAATGGAGGCTTCCATGGATCCTGAGTATCAGACTGGCAAGGCTGCAACTCCCGGCTAGACACGTAAGAATCGACGAACCGTACAAGCTGAGCAGCCTTGCCTTGGGGCCTGTGTGCAGCCCCAATTAACTCGCGTAAAGTACGGTAGCCCATTCTGTAGCTTCAAGGTCCCTTTCTAACCTGCGCCCGTTTCTTGCGTAGTCAATGCCCGCAAGGTTCGTCTTCATTGACGACAACAGCTTTGCAACCCGTCCACACCATGAGGCTTAAGTTGAGGCACAGATCTTATGCTCATAGACTCATAGCCCGACCTGGACCCTAATTCAAGAACCTACCGTTTGAGGATTTTTATAAGGAACTCATAGCGAGGAACCCTAAAATGGTAGGTTACTTGCTTAAGGCTCAGGTAAACCCTGAAACACATTAGGGCTTATAGGGTTTAGGGTTTTCCTTGGAAGGTTTCGGGTATGGTGAAGCTTGGTGGGAGACAAAGCCAAGCCAAAGACTCAGACCCCAAGAGACATGATTCGGCTGTCCACTTGAGTTTTCATAGTTAAGGTTTCGGGGTTGATGTAAGAACCTGATTAAGAAGCTCTCGTCCTATAACCCCAAATTATTCCATACTAAGAGCCCGAATAAGGACCCAAGGTTTCTTAATCAGATTCCTACATTAGGGGCTTAGGGTTGGGCCGGGGGAGAGCCTCATTGAACCGCTTCCGAGATAGAGCTTGTTCAGGAGATTGCCGATGTCCGCCGGTGCGCACCCCTGGTCTACACCCTCCATGTGCCAGGAAGTGGGAAACATGTAGGTTTTAGGGTGTAGGAAGCCATTCTAGCAGAGAGTGGCGTGGTAAAAGCCTGAAGCCCTACGCCCACAGGCCCTGCCAAACCCCAGAACCACAAACTCCCCTGCCTTGATCCAAAACCATGAGGCCCGAGAGCCAACCCCCATCCCGACTCCTCAAGCCCTCGAGCCTAAGCTTTTGCCCCTTGACCCTAAATTTTCAAAAGGAAAGACCTTTAACACTGCTAACCCTGACCCGAACAGCTACAGGCTACAGTACCCTCCAGAGCACTTGTGCCGATTGCACCTTTGAACAGAAAGTAACCTGCCCCGGTTAGTCCGGCAGAGGAGACCCCAAAGCGTATTCGCTGGCTCTCCAGCATTGGTGGGCCACTTGCAGGAGAAGTTGTTCTAGACTCGACAGGGTCTAGGGCAGTCTCGGGCTGAAAAAGAGAATATATAGAGTCCGAAGGCTTAGCAGCTTAGCACTTGTGGGCTTTCTCGTGTCTCGGGTGCATTCCTGTTAAGGATTGGGAATTATGGGGTTTGGTTGCGCGATTCCCTTGTAACGCCCAGCAGACCCAGATTTGCTTATGGGAGCACATCTGGGGTTCATGATCATCTTGCGAGAAACAGGTAGGGCTTTTGGGGACAGGGGGTTGGGATGAGTGTTTGTGCTCACAGCTTTCTTGTTTTGGGGAGTGGAGCCTTGGGCTTACAGCGGCTTAGGGCTTACACCTTTCAGGTTTAGGGATTTCAAGGTGCTGCCCCAATTGCCCAATCGATGCCTCAACGGCCTTATAAGCTTGGGGACCGAAAGCCACCTAAACCTAAGCTTTAAATTCCTAGTCCTAAACCCGAAAACCCCTACAAAACAAACTGAGCCCTCAAACCCCCCGAGAACCCCAAAGCCCTTCAAAGCCTCCGAAGTGCTCAGGTCTTGGATTCGTTTGTGGGACGGGCCCCTACAAAAGAGGATGCACGCCGCACAGACGCCTGGCAGTTCCTCGTAGTGTGGCTGTAAGGGCGGATAGGTTCAAGGCCTAGTAATTACCTATACTATTTTGGGGTTCGTTATGATACAATTATGGTACTATGGGCCCAAAACCCTATTCCAATGATTAAGCTCTCCGTTTGCGGTGGATTGCTGGGACTCGCAATGTGAGGCGGCTTAGGATTGTCGGTTCACGAAGGCGCGAGCTCGATTGCAGACTCAGAGAGCCTAACCCGTTTTACGCAGGATTTGGTAGGACATCATGGCTTCAATTTCCTGGAAGTTTTTCCCGTTCCTCGTATCGCTGGATTCGCAGAACCCTAATCCCTAATCCCTGAAGTTACTGAAGGGCTGCTCATCTTACGAGTCACAGAATACATTAAGTAACCCCAATACGGCAGGTCCTATAAACTTCGGGTACCGTTTACCCTAAACCCTAAACCCTGAACCCCAAACCCCGAAGCTCCGGATCTTTCCCGATACTCAGGAGTTGTACCGCAGCAATGCGGCTCGCCGTGCTGAAAAGGACCGACTGAGATGGGCGTTTGCCCAAATCATGTTTTGTGGGGCTCCTTATTTACGGTAAACCCCATAAGTTGGAGACGGGATTAAGGCCAAGTTGTGCTGGGATGCCCTCTACATTCATTACTCTTAATAAGGATTGAGGCTAGTGGGTTTCCAACTTTTGGGATTCTTACTTACTACATTATGCTGTACTTCGCCATCTTGTGTTATAGCCACAGGCTCGGTCGACTAAGTTCTTTCACAGCTTCTTGCCGAGAATCGAAGACCTATCTGCTGCTCCCAGAGAATCCTGGAGCCAGATATCCATCTATTTCAGGATGCAGCTGGCCCAGGTCAGGCGTATCGAAATTTGGTCGAAGCACTGGTTTATACGGTTTAAAGTTTTTCATGACGTCTACTTCTCAAAATATTGCCGTGCTATGGGTATATAGCAACATGCAAGCTCCGAAGTCCACGAACGCCGGAATCCTGATCTCTGGAATCCCATTCCGAAATTCCGGAAACCCGAACCCGAGATATCCCGGACCTCAACTTACCCTAAGGCTCTACGGACTCATATACTAAGGCTTTTGGGCCCAAAGACCATACAATGTAAGGCTTTCGGGCCATTTTGAGCCTCAGGGTTAGAATCTCTTCGATCGTAGCGTGTGCCGGAGGATCGGCATTCGTCCTTGCAGTCCTTCGTGGCATCTCTGGAGGCATCGAGAAAGCTTCCCTTCTTCATTTCCAGGGCTTATAATAAGCTTTCGGCATACGGGCAGAGAGAGGCTTGAGGTTGAGGATTTGTAAGATTTTTCGGGATCAGAGTTTAGGCTTTCAGGTCTAGGCTTGGGGATTTGGGGGCTTGATTAGGCTTTAGGGCTTACAGGGCTTAGGTTTTGGAGAGCATCCTAACTCCTCAACCTGACACCCAGGAGTGGCCTTTGAGCGACTCGCGCAAGCATCCTTCGGCTCGATGCAGTTCCCTAAGGGTCCATGTACCCAAACAGTATATACTTTGGCCCCAAAGCACCTATATAAGGACTACTGTAAGGACAAAGTATATGCTGTTTGGGTACATGGACCCGTAGGGGTTGAGAACACGGTTCGAGTCACGCGGCCGCTAAACAGCGGAGAGTAAGTCCTCCAGATGTCGACATCGCCCGCTTTCGAAATTGCAGGTGTTGCAAAATGCCGGCCAGGGTACGACTTCGGCTTGACAGACCCTTAAGAACTGTGAAACCTAAATCCTAAACGCTAAACCCTATACATCCTTAGCCCGATACCCCCCAGAAACCCTAAACCCTAAGCCCCCCTAAACCCCAGAAGAACTGCGGAACAAGTTGGGGTCAGGATCTTCGGTTTTGCAGCTTGGCAGTTGCACGAGGCTTCCGTGTCTGGCATCTTCTCGTTGCAGTGGGCGGCAAGAAGCCCAAAGGGTCCAAGTATCATTCTGGTATATACTTATAGGGCATTTTGGGGGTCTAAGTATATACCATGATGATACTTGGACCCTTTGGGAAGGTTCAGGAGAGTCGAACGCAAAGAGCTCGTGCATGTGATACATTGGAAACGTATTATTCAGTGGTAATGTCCTCTTGTAGTCCTTATACAGTTATCGTACACTATACACCAAAACACGATCTTATTAAAAGAGAGCTTCAAGCTAGATAGGACATAGATCACACAGTCATGCTCTCAAGCGTGCTGGCAAATCTTGCGGCTCTTACTCGCCGTACTCCTTGAGCCCGAACCCCCGAAGGGCCCTAAGTACCTACACGGGTGATACTTATCCAGACCATAATTTAGCTAGTCATTCCAACTATAGAAGTTGCACTTTTCACTATAGAAGTGTCGACAAAAACCTAGGACTCTTCGGGAAGCCAAAGCCCTGAACTCAGCTGCAGTTCCGCGAACAGGTGCGCATTGACATCCGGGAGCCCCGCGAGGATGACTTGAACCGAGTCAGCCAGATCTCCATGCGAGCCTTGACAGTCTAGGGTTTAGGGGTTTTGTGGGTTTCGGTTTAGGGGGTTAAGGGTTTACAGGTTTCGGGGTTCAGGGTTTAGGGTTTAAGGTTCAGGGGTTTTTGTGTCAAGACACTGAAGACCAGGTTTTTGTACATCCCACTCTCTCGTACAGCCAGTGTGAAGCTTGTGAGGCAGTAGGCTGTTCTAGGTCCCGAGGTCTATTGCTGTACTGCTTTCGGGGCTTATGTCTTGAGCTAAAGCTTCCCCGTGTGTTTTATATTGAAGTCTGTGCTTTCTTGAAGACCTGGCGCCGCAGAATGCGAAGTGACGTGCTTACTCAGCAAGGAACCAACCAGTTCAACACCACCCAGATGCGCTTCAGTGAGCAGCATGTGAGGTCGCTCGGATGAAGCTGGTGTAATGCCAATCTTCGGGCCTATATCGCCCTAACTCTGGACCTCCAACCATAAATCATTGAATAATCGATCCTGCAATGCCGTGAACCCTACAGCGAGCTGTGTTGATTATCAGGCGAGTGCTGGAAGCCCAGTTCCCTACACAGGCATTAGTATGGAGCTATGGTCTTCGGGCCTTGTATCCTAAATAAAGTGCGATTATGAACCCGAGGTGAATTTGTCGAATCTTTCTATGTAGCAACGTGGACCTTGGGGGTTTCATGTTCTGGTCTCTTTCCGGTCTTGGTTCAAAGAACTTGGAGCTCGTTACCGAAACAGTTGCCTACTTTTCGAGCCGCGCCCCCCCCCCCCCCCCCCCTCCCGCCCCTACCCCCTCAGCATTTCTGCGACTCTTCCGGCTACCCTGTCTTCCTCACGATCAGACCTTTGATATATGATGGTAGTGTGTTTGTGAAGTCAATACAAGCCCACATGCGACAGCTACTCGCCTGAGGCCCTAGACTCCATGCTCTACCCCGAGCCCGAATCCCGGAAGGCCTTTGAACCAGAGCCAGGTCATGGTGTTCCTCTGATGATCATTTCGTCCTCACTGCCCAGGCACAGGTTACGATTCGGCAGTGTGTCATGTTCGCGTCAGCTTCGTGCACTCTGCTATGCAACAGCTTCCATAGGAAATACCTGGCTCCCTCCGCAACACAGCATCATCGGCCTGCATGAGTGAAAAGTTCCAGTGAAAGGTTATGGAACAAAACGGTGCTGTGCAAGCAAACCGTTTCGCAGCAATGGAGTTCTAGCAATGTACTTTCCACAAGATGTTTTCACATGGCTTCCTGCAAATGTCGCTGTTGTCGGTTCCGAGCATTCGAGATCATTCTGTGCCAGGAAGAAACTAGAAACAGCATAGCGTACACCTAGCACTATAAGGACTCCATACTCATACCACATACGCAGCTTCTCTTGCCAGATAAGGCAAGTAAGCTTCATTTTAAAACCCTTACGTCCATGCTGCCTTGCACGGCCCATACAATAAACAGCCTCGTCCTCCGATCTCTCCCTACTTGGAGGGTCGGGGGACTTAGTAACTGGTTATTTTAGGGACTTATAAGTACCATAACCCCAGTTAGGGTCCCTTTTACAGTACTTATAAGTCTACTTACTACCTACTTACTGAGTCCCCCGACCCTCCAAGTATACGATGAGGAGACTCGGAATCCTTGAACCCGGGCCCTACCCTTACCTGTCCCATCTAGTGTAGTTTCTGGTCTTGGGGTTGTATGGTTAGGAGCCTATACTAGTACTCATAGCAAGCATATGACAACAAGTCAACCAACAAAAAAGGGAAGTAGACTGGCGAATTTAGGTAGACACCAGTCTATCCCGAACTATAAAGTCCCCCCAGCCCTCAAGCCCCAAGCGTCTAGGCATTGACCTTGAACCTCGGTTGGTGCAGGTAAACCCTGACCCTAAACCCTAATCCATAAACCCTAAACCCGCTAAACCCTGAACCCTAAAGGTGGCGGACAAGTTCGGAGATTATGGTCTTGTGGCTGCGGCTTTCTGCACTCGCGGAGATGGCATCCTGACCCTCGACTGCTTGGCGCTGTCCCTCGGCCTCAACTTTCGGGCATCAGCCGCAGAGTATCGACGATCCCTGGGGTTTGGGGGAGGGTTCAGGGTGTCGGGGTTGAAGACGCGTTGCGGGTTGAAGTTTGCAAAGCAAGGCCAACCGAAAGGTTTCTGCGACGTGCTGGCGTTGGGAGATCATCCTGATGATGATCATCATCATCATCATCAGGGTGATGACCGACGTTGCTCCATGATGATCAGCACCGTCAGCATCACCATCATGAGCACTATCATCATCTGGAACAGGGGAGAGATATTGTGAGAGTTGGGGGTGAGGCATCAACCTACAGAGTGTCCAACACAATCACATTCCAAAGCTGTGTGTTCGGTAGTCTCAGTAACTTTGTGAATGCGCTTCCGTAGATGTTCGGCCGCCATCGCTTCGAACACAAATAATAACTACGATGACAACGACGACATTACTTGCACTAGTGCCATCACTGCCGAAGCAACACCATGGCACCACAGTACTTGCCCTGCCGGCCTCGATCGTATTATGAACACAAGTTTCTAAAACAGTGACAAGCAACAGAGTCATAAAACTCAGAGTAACAAGTAGAGCAGCACTACTGTCTGTAATGATCTTGACTAGGACACCGGCATACAGTAGTAATCTGTTGGCTCGAACCTGTCACAGGAGCTGTCGAGTGTTGCATCGCGGTGTTGAGCAGAGCCTCCTGCGAGAGCTGGGGAAAGCCGCCGCGGTGTCTCGGACCTGCTATTGACAGGATGCGATGATTGATAGCATCCCCTGATACTCCTTATACAGTTATCTGTTCGTATATTCCCCGAGCACTTGCTCTAAACATGTAGGCCTCCGTATATTCCTTGCTTTGCTCCCATGGTTTCGATGCGGTGGTTCTATACAAGTACTGGTAGTCTATGTTGGTACAAGCCGGTGTTGGTAATCACGATTCTGACTGCTGTATTGAATGCTGCACGGCATTGACTTGCACTTTCGTTCAAAACAAAATACAGATGAACCCTAAACCCTAAACCGTGTGTATCAGCATAATCCTGGAGTTTGTAGGAGCTTTTTTGATGGACTGAGCTTAGACCGCGGCTGCAATCCCTAACCCCGAGATAGGAAACTAAAATCACAAATGACAAACAACTCAACACTGCATGCTTTGCTTAGGAGCTAAGATCTCACAGGGGAAAAACATGCAGCCCCGCCATGAAGCAGCAAGCGCCGCCCAAGCTGCAGAGAGTCTTGAAGGACCAGCTTTTCCTCAACAGCACTTCCCACAGCCCGCCAATCTCCGCGCTGGTTTCAGGTCCGTGCGATTGCCAACATCCGAAACCCTGAACTCTGAAGTCTTAAACCCTGATCCCCATCGCATTCTAGAGTAGTGATCTTCGGAGGTTGGACAGGGGAATATAGGGGCCTGAATCACCTGAATGATTACCTATACTATTCTGGAGGCTCCTTATTTTAAGTATAGTATATTAAATAATATATGCCCCAACACCCTCTTCTAGTTTTTCAGGCCCCTATGTTAGTGTCTTATGATCCTATGGATTTCTAGTTCCTGGAAACCATGTATCCAAATAGTATATACATTGGCCTTAAAGTAGTCCCTATATAGGTAGCCAGTATATACTATTTGGGTACACAGACCCTTCGGGTAGGGGGGTTTTGCGCAACTCACTTTTTTAAGGGAGCCTCTGAATGTACCACACCAATCCCAAGATAATCGGGACCCATCTAACTTCCTGCGCCCTGAACCCATCAGCTGGGAGTCCACAAGTACAAGAAACTCCGTCATCACGAATAAGTTCATAAAGTCCGCCTTATAATGTTTTAGGGTTTAGGCCACATGTACAGATGTAGTAGCATGCAGCATGATGCTTCTCGACCCTAAACACACTGCAGGCCTGAACAAGTAAGAGAATGCCAAGCGCCACAAGCCCAGCAAATGAACACATCGGAGCTCCAAGGAAGAGGGCCGCCAGTTGGTGAAGATCCACTTCCGCGCTTCGGGCAAGAACGACCTGGCTCGAGGCGGTTTAGGGCTTAGGCTTTGGTTTTTATATCCAATGTAGTAAAAGTCGGAATGATTAGTCAAAGTATTTCTTGGGCACTCTTCGGGATACTTCTTATAGCCGTAGCTGTTCTATACTCTGCCAGGCCCCTATTTGAGGGTCTAGGGTCTCGGGGAATGTTGGGTCTCCAGATCAGGGTTTTGCCTGTGTGTTCTTAAAGCCGGTTACTAGGTGGCCATTCGGGAAACTTGTTAATTTCCCTTATGGTTCCTACAGAGGTACCTATTCATAAATACTTTTCAGAGCCCCAAAACTACAACCCAGGTTAGCCCTGATCCTCTGAAGCTAGAAATGTAGCCCTTAGATCCTTAGAACTTGAGCACCCCCAGACCCTAAACCCTGAAGGGCCCTTGTTGCAGGTTTCTGGTTTAGGGTTCAGGGTTTAGGCCCCAAGAATTTACCCTAGACTCGAAACCTAGACCTGGAACAAGGGCTGTTTGAGGATGAAAGAATCCTAGAGCCGTTGGTTTCGGTATAGGCTGTGGTGTTCCCTCAATGCTCTGCCCCTGAAGCTTTGAGAGGAGCTCTCCACCCGCTCCCACTTGCCCCAAGATAATGAGTCTAAAGTCAGGAGTGGAAGGTTCAGGGCTTTAGTGCTTTGGGGGTTAGGAGTATAGGAAATGAGGACTATACCCCACATTCGATAGTTCCTCGTCTATACATGCTGGTAACATGTCCCAAAACATAGTCACCAGTCTCAAAGCCTGCACTTGGAGCTCCAAGCCCTAAACTAAACGCTAAACTCTGAACCCGACAAACACCTCCGAGGACCCCTCAAAACCCCGAAGCCCCTGTAACCTTCAACCCCTACACCCTTCTAGTACTTGCGAGGAACCCTTGCAGAACGAAGCCCCCCAAAGTGAGGCTTGTAGCAACCTTTGTAGAACCCTCATAGAACCCCCAAGACATGTAATATAGGGACCTATACAGTTGGCAGTACTATTTTGCAGGTTCCTGTCCATTAATTCACCCAAAGGCTCCATCTACCTTTATAGTAGATACTTAAGCCTTAAAGACGTCCCTATATAGGCACTTTAAGGCCTGAGTGCCTACTATATGGGTACATGGAGCCTTAGGGTAATTCAGTTTACCCGAAAACGGAGCTCCCGGGGATCCTCTCCGGAGGTTTCCTCGCGCGCCTCCATTCCTGGGCCCGTCGTGGCGATCCGTGCTGCGATTGAAGCAAAGTGCGCGCTAACGTCCCGAACCCGAATCTAGACTTAAAGTACAAAGGCTTAAACTTTCAATTATTACTAAGGTCAGATCATCCCCTTGGGGATTATATACGATAATCACCCCCGATTTAAGGCCCCTACAGTAACTTAAGTGTGCCGGGAGTCTCCTATCAGCCAAGGTGCCCACCGAAGGAGGAGGCCACAGACATGGAGCTTCTTGTCCTGAGAGCATGCACGAATCTGGCTTTCAGTTCAGTTCGCAGGCTCTCACGCTTGCCTTGTGTTGGCTGCCTTTCTCCATGGTTCCTGTTCTGGTTGTCAGACATTGAAGCAGAAGCCGGTGGTGGCCCCCTCGCTACCAATTCAGGTTGTTGGCTGTGGAGTCAGGTTTTGAGCTTCAGTAATGCGTGGGTTCAATGTCCCTATAAGCCTTACCTTAGCCTTAACCCTGAATAACCTACCTTTTTAGGGTTCCTTATTATGATTTCCTTATATAAGTCCTTAAAAAGGTAGGTCCTTCAGGGTTAAGGTAAGCCATAAACCAGCTCATAAACCCATGTCGATATGAATGCCAAGTTGCTTCGAGCTTCCTGCTGAAACGCTGGCCCGCCTGGAGAATCACACTCTCCAGCGGTTTGCCGACGAGGAGGACTGCATCGGATAATCTTAGATAGGGAACTTTAAACTTCTCGGCCTTATATAGTAGCTCTATCCTAGAAAGTCTGAACTTTTGGGGGCCCGGTTGTTGAAGAAGAGAGTAATTTCGGTATATAACTCTAGGGCCCGGATAATCAATATTTTGTTGAGGCTTTTGATAGCATTTTTATTGAGAGTTTCGCGGCGAACCGCTGAGGTTTAAGCATGTACGGTTTGGGGTCGGGTAGGAGACTTGCCACACCCGGGCATTGCACCCAGAGCCCGGGCTGCCGCAATTCGAAGGACGCTTGCACGGGAATCCTTCCACAATGAAGCTCAGCAATCGATGCCCTGAGCCACAATCCGTGGCTCTTGAACCGCTCCGAACCCGGAAGAAACAGCGCACTACCGCATGGGCTTTCTAAGAGCCCATCATGCACACCTTGAAACTAAGCGCTGAATTTGACCCTGAATCCTCAAGTCCGAAATGTTCCAACGCGAAACCAGACCTGAAACGCAGAAATTCCACGGGGCAGATTGCAAACCCTATAGTTCTTTGTCAAGCCTTCAGTGCCTCCACTTCTGGACCCAACTACCCTAAGCCCTAAGGGTCCAAGTACCATTAGAGTAGGTACTTAGTACTTAGTAGGTATTTGGGATCCCAAAGTATATACTGTACTGGTACCATTATAGTAGGTACTTAGTAGATAATTCTTTGGGCCCCCCCAAAGTATATACTATACTATGACTTGGACCCTTTGGGCTAGCGTTTTCTTGGCTGCTTTAGAGGATGCTGTCGTTCCGGCGGCAAAGAATTCCTGGGCAGCAGATGTGTCTTGGAGCACCGTTCAGTCACATCTGCCCGAAGTGTGCGGGGCATGTATATAAGCCTTGCAACATACATCCCAGCCAAGCCTTGTCTTGGGCACATGGATCCTTAATGATCGGTTCTTGTGGCGTGTTGTCGGATCTGTAGTGCTCATGGGCGCAGTATGCGAGGGTCCAACACTCAGGGCATCAATGGCCACATGCCATTGTTTCAAATTGGGACCCCCCGAAAAACAGAAAAAAAAACACACCGAGTTTACGTGGTACATCCTGTCTTTGCTGGGCTTTGATTTGAAGTTTTCGCAGGGTGTGGAATTCAGTTCAGAGGCCCGAAGCCGCATACCATAGGCACTTACTCCAACTTCCTCAGACAACGCCTCGATCTATGTGAAACCCTTAGGCTCCATGTACCGATATAGTAGGTACTTAGGCCTTAAAGTGCCTATATAGGGACCTCTTTAAGGCTTAAGTATCTACTATAAAGGTACATGGAGCCTTTGGGAAAGCCCGGTTCTCAGCTTTTTATCCGAGGCCATCGATCGTGAGTCGCGAGTGCTGACGTGCCGTGGTACAAGTTGGGCAGTTCGCCTTAGGGGTGCCTTATTTGGGAGTCCTTATAATAGGGATCCTGCTATTTAAGGGTACTATATTAGGGTCCCCTTTTTTCTCGGAAACTCCCCTGCAGGGTGTGTAAGATCCGAGGGCCCGGAAGTTGGATTACCACTGCCACACCGCCGCCGCCCACTACCACCGCCACCACCGATGCCACGAGCAAAGTGCAACATCTGTGGCATCAGCCTCAGCATCAGATCTGTCACCATTTGGCAGAATGGTCCTGGGCTTCTTACGGAGCCATTCAACCAGCAAAGTGTACTAAACTTCTGTAAAACTTAAACCATTAATTGAGCAATCCCGAGAGACCAGGTGGACCAATGTGGTGGATTCCGAGGACCGGGCGCATCAACAATTAGAATTGGCTTTTAAATAGGGTTTGTCAATGGTCCTCGTAACCACGCACTTGGAACCGAACTCCGACACCCTTAGAGCGGGTGCAACCCGCAGAAGCCGTGCAAACACCTAGGTCACAGTGCTCAAGCCTTGCAGCCCAAGCACGAATTCGAACCTGAGGCGACTTGCTGGTGTCACTTAATTGAAGGTCTTGCTTTATGCACACTCTTGTGGGTGGGGTTCTCTGGCTGAGGGATGGAAACGCAAAGCTAGATGACGTTGCACCTTGTACCCGAAACCCTGGACCAATGACGGCTCAACCTTGAGCGAAGGCTTGGTTTAGAGTTCCTTTTCTGGATTACCTTATGTTTGAGTACACCAAACAAGTTAAATACAGGAACTACAGTGGAGGAGATTATAGACAGGGTTAGGGAAGCTTTAGCCTAAATATTCCTCGATTGAAACAACGCAGACCAAAGCACAGGGACAGTAACTAAATTAATCTCTCTTTCAGCCTTGCTTGCTTCCTGACCCAAGAGACCGATACCGCAGCCGAATGCAAGGACATCTATTCACTAGTCTTTGAGCGAGCTTGTAAACTACACTCCACACGCCCCGCTCCTCAAAAACTTAATGCACCAAGACTAAACCCTAAGTTAAAAACCAAAGAAGCAGGATTTGCAAAAGGCCTCAGCCGGAAACCCTAAAACCCTAATGTACAAAAAGCCCTAAACTTAAACCGGAATTTAGCAAAGGCCTAAGATGCAGGTCTCAGGTGAAGAAGAGATTGGTGGGGTCACGGGTGGGGGTATAGGGTTTAGAATTTAGGTCTTTGTGGATTGTTATAATGTAGTATGACAGAAATTGTATATGTAGATATAGCCTGTACTTTGCATCTACTAGGCCTCCCAGTGGGCCCTTTTTGCCTTTTGTAGTCCCAGGTTCATTATAAAGTTACCCAACACTAAAAAGGGAGCCCTGTTTATTCCTAGCTTACTGGGCATCCTAGTTTTGCATCTTTGGGCTTCACAGGGAGACTTAGGGGGGTAGGGGGAGGGTAGGTAAGGGGCCTTACTGTAGGTTCCTGGACCCTGGATACGGTTGATGATATAAATCCTGCACTACCTTAATAACCCTAAACTACGGGAATTATGATATATTCCTTATTATAGGTAATGCAGGATTTATATCATCAACCGTAGGGCAAGGGGAGTTTTTTCCAAGGGTAAAAGGAGGGACCCTTAATAAGGACCCCTAGGTTTTTTACAGTTAATATAGCTATTATATACGCATTATTCTAGCCCATTATAGGGTAGGGGTCCCCATTAAGGGTCCTTCCTTTTTCCCGTTGATTTTTGGTAGTAAGTAGACTTATAAGTACCCTAAATAGGAGCCTAGTTGGGGTTATGGTACTTATAAGTCCTTAAAATAACCAGTTACTAGGTCCCCCGACCCTCCAAGTATGGTAGGGCAAGGGGAGTTTTTTTTTTGAACGGTAAGGAACTCGAAGGCTTGAGAGACCCTGAACTGCAGGGTCTCTCGAGCCCCTACTTGGAGGCTCATGGGTAGTAATAAGTGAGGTTATAAAGGGGTCCTTTAAGGGCCCCTTTAAAGGGATCCATCGGGGTTTTATAAGGGTATAGGGTAGTTATTATAAGTGGGGTTATAAGTCCCCTAACATGGGTTCTATCTCTCCTGATATGGGGTATAACTATAGTTCTCCTACTTAAAACCCTACTTATAACTACCCATGAACCTCCAGGTAGGGGGTTTCCGGTTTAGCGCAGTATGTAGCTTCAGGACTGGATGGGCGGCACGGTGAAGAGCTCCAAAGATGAGACCCGGTCAAAATGCGACGTAGGGTGTCATGATAGCCCTTACCCAAAGGCTCTAAGGACTCATATATTAAGGCTTTTGGGCCCAAAGACCATACTATATAGGGCTTCTGGGCCATTTGGAGCCTTAGGGTTAGAGTGAGTAGAGTGTATCTGGAAATGATGATTCTGTTCAGGCACGGCGTAGAAACAAAGTCAGAACAACTTCGACCTGTAGCTAATGGACTGGGAAGCCTTGTTTTGAAATGACTTTCCCTAAACCTTCAGACCGTAAAGTCCTGCACCCTACAAGCCTAAAGCCCTAAACCCTATAAACCTGATAGACGTTGCAAGCCCGGTTCGTCTCCTGCTCTTTTCCGAAACATTCGTAAGAAACGCCCACTTGCGGTACTTACCATAAACCAAGCATCGAAACTGCTCCAAAGGCCCAAAGAAACAAGTCGTAAACATCTTGAGCTGCCAAGGCCCTATGCCCTATACCCCGACAAGTCACAGGGATTTGCAGTCAGTGAGTTTCTCACAGAAACGACATTCGGAGAGTCTAGCTTTGAGCAGCTATGGTGTCACTCCAATCGCATTGTCTTGATCTTATGCACACTATGGACATGCAAGCCCTATGAACTTAGGGAGCTCCCCGAGCCCTGCGAGAACCCGACTTCCGTAAGCCTTAAACCGCTAATAAGTATAAGCAACCCTAAACCCCGAATGACCCCAAACCCTCGAGCCCGTATTTTTTCTCGGTGGGTCCCAGGATGCTCCCACATGCGGCAGCTGGCAAGCCTTTCTCGACAAAGCAACTCGCTCGCCATTTCTGAGGCATGGCATGGAGACCGTGGGAGTTCCGGAAAGTAGGAGAGACCCTGGCTTCGAACCTGATATCACAAACTTCCCTATCCTGATTGCAAGGACACTTGGGGGTTGTATGTTTACCCTAAGGCTCAAAATGGCCCAAAAGCCTTATATGGTATGGGTCTTTGGGCCCAAAAGCCTTAATATATGAGTCCTTGGAGCCTTAGGGTTGGGGGAGCCCCTAAACTCTTTAGATCCCTTCAAGGAACCCCTTATGGATCACATAAAGGATCCCTTAAGGGAGCCTTCGGTCCTTAGAGCCTTAGGGTTATACTAAACCCCATAAAGTTGGAAACCGGATTAAGGCCAAATAGTGCTGGAATTCCCTATACATTACTCTTAAGGATTGAGGCTATTGGGTTTCCAACTTTTGGGCTTCTACTGTAGTTTGGGGTCAAGCATTCACGGATTCCGCGGTGTTTGTTGCTGTCCTTCCATCCCCCGCCTTCGTGCCCTAGGGTTGATGATAGAAATCCTGTAGGGGTTCCTTTAAAGGGATCTATAAGGGTACCTTTAAGGGGCTCCTTTAAGGGATCTGTAGGGTTGTTGGGTTTAGGGTTCGAGCCCTATAGATTGGGTACTGCCCCCACTCAGTAACAGTTGGATAATATTCATAATATAGATATATTAGGACCGTAATAGTAGCTATTATAGACTGCTACTGTAAGTCGGCAGTACCCAACCTGTAAATCTGCAACTCCACATTTCCGAATTATGCCCGAACGACTCAACCCTGGAACATACTTGGAGGTTCATGGGTAGTTATAAGTGGGGTTATAAGTCCCCTAATATGGGTGATATCTCCCCTAATATGAGTTATAACTTATAACTATAGTTATCCTACTTATAACCCTACTCATAACTAACTTCCATGAACCTCCAAGTAATTAGGGGCCAAGCCCGGAAACTGACGTCGGGTGTTGAAGCTTTCGCGAGGGGCTTTGGTACCGTTACCTTTTGATACGGTGGATGGACAAAATCCTGCATTACCTTAAGTATGGTATGGTACCATAAATTCCTGTACCTTAGGTATATCGGGCCATGCAGGATTTTGTCTATCAACAGTGCGACCCGCATGTCGCTCGACTTGCGGCCTCACCCTTTTAAGCCACCGTGGACACGAGGGCTCCAGGAGGAGGGTTTGGGTTTGAGCTTTTGGTGGCATGTGTACACCGAGTGCACCAGGTAAGCGAGATGGGTGCAGACGTGCCACGAACCCGGACAAAGAGCGACGCCGAACAACAAAGCTTTCAGGTTTATCGGGGTCTATAGACCTGGACCTGTACTCGAAAATGTGAGTAGTTTCGTACTGAAGTATGGGAGTGCGTGATGTTAAATAACTGCTGGACCCCCAGTGACCAAGATCTTTCTGCCCGAATATTGATATTCACCACCCCAGCATGTATGCTACATGGTCTTGCACATGAACACAGCCCCGTAATGCTTTAGCCCCAAAACCCTGCACCCTAGACGGCAACACGCTGCCCGCAAACTAGAGGCTAAGGTACAGTGCCAACCCTATCGTTTCCGCTTCAGCCGACAGTTTGGACATGTTTTAATTTTAGATATCTGTGCCACCTTCTCCATCTAGATGCGGGTTGCTAGGACCAGAACACCGCACATGGGTTCCGAGTGAGTGTAATTGAGGTCCCAGCAAGCTTGCAAGTTGCCAGTCTCACGTTGTGTCGTTGACGATAAAGTAGGCACTTTGTCAAGGACTCACGATTCGGGTAGAGATCGGGGGAAAGCATTTGCAAGAGTCAGGATGACGAGGATGTCGTTTCCCAAGGCTTGTGCTGATAATAGTGCTACGAGGCTGATGTATGATCTCCGCCTATGGAGCTCAACCGCATGACTCTAAACCTACCTGCACCCAGCTGGACTCTGACCGGATGAGCCACACTTTCGAGACAAGTCCTAAGATCCGTAGTAGTCGAGTAGGTAGCCTTCAACCTTGTTTGGGTAGTATCGCCCCTATACAATCCCTATATAACCAAAAAGGTTAACCTTTAGTTCCCCATGATACCCGACAAGTAGGATCCTATCACCTACACCGCAATCATGCTGCCAGCTCCAAGGATGACAGCAGGATGCTTCCATTAATCGTTCGAGAATCTGCATTCTTATGTATGTCCGGCTAGGTTTCGTGCAACCAACCCAGCTATTGTCGTTCTAGTTTTGGTTATCTCGCTTTCTCCCTCTTTCTCGATCTGTTTGTCACCTTGTCGACACCTACAACGCGCACAAACATGTACGCAATCTAGTAATGCACACACACACACAACTGCCTGACAGCAGCCATTTAATAGTCAGAGCTACGTTGTGCGCGCCCCGAGCCCGTTGAGCAGGAGCGGCCAGAGTCAAGTTTAGGGTTCCTTTAAGGGATCTATAGGGGTTCCTTTAAGAGTATTTTAAAAAGTATTATAGAATTGGATCTAATTAATTATAGGGGTTCCTTTAAGAGTATTACAAGTATTGAAGGATTTAGGGCTCATTTTCTCTTCAGGGCCTTGGAGTTGGGGGTAAAGGGACGTGTTCCGGTTCAACGCGCCTTGGGGGCTTGCCGCCTCTTCTCAAGACACGAACCACATGCCTCGGATTCAGCCATAATAAGGCGCGGCTACATTGCAGCTTAGGATATCATGGTGACCAGCCTGCAATGCTAAACCTTGATTTATCACGAGACCTGACGCCAGTCCCAGAAGTCCGCACCGTACCCTTCGTCTTCCTTAAACCATCTCAGCCTGCAGTGCGGTTCAAAAGATAGGAATAGCATGTCCTTTGCATGCTACATTTCGGATGTAGCTCGAAATATATATATATATATATATATATATATATATGGTTTAGGGGTTTCAGGTTTATATACGGTTTTTAGGACGTGAAGCTCGTGTGAGGCTAGCCGGCCAGGGAGCAAGGAGAAGGACAAGTTATGCGAGGCTTGGAACCTCGAGTGGGATTTACATAATTATTATTATATGGTATTGCATGTTCAGTTCGGACGGCCTGTCTGGCCGAATTACACTGCTGTTGTTTAGACTTAGCCGCCACTTGATTGCTGGCCTTTTTTGCCGTCTGAAAAAGCTTAGTAGTAGAGCAGGGAACCTTTAACCTTTTCTGCGTACTATAGTCCCTATATAATCCCTATACAACCAAAAAGGTTATACCCGACAAGTAGGAAGGATTGCGCTGAGTGAGCTACGCTACCAATCGGAGTTACAAGTATTAGGGACCCAAAAAGCACATAAGCATAAGCATTTTATGTGGATATCCCTACCTTGGTGGCTTTCCTTTTGAGGGGACTTAATTATATGGGATATCTATCCTCATTTTTGCTTATCTGCTTTTTTGGGGCCCTAAAGTATACTTGTGAGCTTCTGAGTCATCCTGGCCGTTCCGACCCCGAGGCCCTAGCGCCAAAGGCCCTGATGGCAAGCCTTAAAGCCCAAACCCTGAAGCCTAAACCCTCCTAAACCCTACACCCTAAACCCTCCTAAACCCTAAACCCTCCTAAATCCTAAACCCTAAACCCTCCTAAACCCTACAAACCCTAAACCGACTCCCAACCTCGAAAACCGATCCAAGACCCTATAAATCCTAGAGTCTCGGCCCCGTATTTGAAGCCGACTCGCCCCCCCCCCCCCCCCCCCCCCCCTATCGTCGCTGTCCCCTTGATGGCTACTTGGAGGGTCGGGGGACTTAGTAAGTAGTTATTATATAGACTTATAAGTACCTCAAGAGGGACCCTAATTGGGGTTATGGTACTTATAAGTCTATAAAATAACTACTTACTTACTAAGTCCCCCGACCATCCAAGTACTGGGTACCCCGGCAAAGAATGTAGTCTGCAGCAGCAAAGGCTCCAGGATGCCAATGTTCTACAACTTCCATCTCGTAACTACTGTAGCCGCTGTAGTCATAATAGGGAATCTAGGGTTTAGGGGTTTTGGGTTTAGGGTTTAGGGGCCCGTGCACACGCCTTTCAGGGAATTGCTGTCGCCAGCGTCTCAAGCTCCAGTGACAAGTCTTCGTGATGCATGTGCGTTTGCATGGGAGTCCATTCTTGCTGGAGATTGTTGCGGCATTTCAGGATACCCATGTATACAGGGATGTTTGCGCTAGCATCTTAGATATCTATCGGAGTGAGCCAATGGCAACGACCGTTGATGCAGAAGTCCTTGCTGGGTTTATCACCCTGGCCAACTTAGATGGCCTTCGAAAGTTTGCACCACCTAGCTTCGACTGGAGCCAGCTTATCACTGAGGACAGAGTACCCGCGCTCGTACATGTCATAAGCCAAGGGATGGGACATGAAGAGGCCGCAAGCTTTGTAAAGATCGCGGAATGGCTGCTGAAAGCTGGGGCAGATCCGCGAGACAAGGTTCCACTCGCCAACAAAAAGCGCTTCAACCTGTGGAAGACAATTGCTAAAGAAAAAACCCTCATCGCTGTTGCATATGCTGGGCACTCCGCTGTTTCCTACGCCTTCGCCTGGCTTTCTCAACTGCAGCTGAGCAAAGGCGGTGCGGACTGGTCAGCCGCGCGACGGTATGTAGAAGACATTGTGGCACTCTTTGCGAGGACGACACCTGGCAAGAAATCCAATGGTGCAGACGTCAACGTGCCGCAAAGTACTGTGGACCTGTGGGAGTCCATGCGCGACTCGACCTCCTCACACAACGTGATCTTCGAAGCTTGGGGCGGGGAGGTGTCGGCACACGACCAGATCCTGATTCTTGCCTCGCCAGTACTCAAAGCCATGCTCGAGTGTGCGATGAGGGAGGGCAGCAGCAGGCGGATTCAAGTCAAGGACTCCTCATGCGCGGGCGTCTCGCTCTTCCTGGATGTCTTGTACACAAGCTCTACTCACCAGGATCCTGACCACAACACCATGCTTGTGGCAATGGACCTAGCGCACCGTTGGCAAGTTCATGGCGTGGTGCAGACGCTGTGCAACGCACTGCAGAACATGATTGATTCCAAGAGCTTCGTGGCCATTGCAGAGGCTGCAGTGCTTAAGGGGCTGCCAGCACTGGAGCGAGCATGTGCCTCCTTCGGCTCCACAAACAAGCAAGTGCAAGAAATGCTCAAGAAAGGTAGTCTCCCGGCGGCTGTGCGGAAGCTGCTTGGAGAGTCTGAGCATGCCAGTGGTGAGCAGCAACAGCCGAAGAAGCCGCGGCGGTTCCTGTCATCATGAGAGTTGGTCGTGCTGGACCGTGAAGCCCATGGAATCTTAAGATCGAACTACTCTTCGTTACTGAGTTGGCGGGATGGAAAAAGTGCAGGGCGAAGTTTGGTCTGCATGTATCACGCAGTTACTCGAACCATTTTGAGAAGCGGGAATGGAGAGGGATCGCCTTAATGAGCACAAGTCTTGTTTGAAGCGGCTCCAAAGGCATGTTGGCTGTACCCCTAAGGCTCTAAGGACTCATATATCAAGGCTTGTGGGCCCAAAGACCATGCTATATAAGGCTTTTGGGCCATTTTCAGCCCCAGGGTACGGCAGCTCCAAACCTGCGGAATAATTAGCTGGCTATGACACTAAGACCCTCACAGGGATGCAGCTTTAAATTTGCTACATGTCAAAACAGTGCAGCCTGCTGCGGGATGTGCAGGTGTGGACCGTCTTAGATGAGGTCTTAAAGGCTTTCGGGCTTCCAGGATGTGGGGTGCGAAGCTCCAGTTGTAGAAGCTGCCACGAAGAAAGAACACTGTCTTCCAAAGAAGTCCCGTGAGTTTTGTTCCAGATGGCCTTTTCCGACGCTCTAAAGCCCTACGGCCTCGAACGACATGTAAACCAACTCACTCCGAACCGGAACGATGCACTATCAACACAGGTCAATCATTGGCACGCCCCATACTCCCTGAACCCTTAAACCCTCAACCGTCAAGCCTTAACCCTAAACCCTTTAAACCCTAAACCGTATTTATAAAGCCCTAAACCCTGACAAAGCCAAAAGCCCGGTCCAATCGCTCAGAGCGTGAACCTGCAAGTGTTTTAATCCCTGCAGCCCTAAGCTCTTATTCCCTAAATTAGGGTTTAGGGTTTATAGGGTTTAGTTTTAATACCGAAATTCAGCTTAAACCCAAGACCTAGAGCCTTTTACTCTAAACATCCCCCCCGGAATCTTGTTCAGAAGGCTCGAGACCCACACTCCACCCCACGATCCGTAAGTTCAACGAGCGCGAAACACCGCTGTCTCAGCTTCGGTTTCTCCCTGAGGTTTTGTATGGGGACACTAAGACTCACTAAGACAATATTTAGGTCAACTAGATTCTACCTGGTCTCCATTATGGTTCCTTTTCTTGGTTTAACCAGTTTCATATCTAGGTTATCATGGACCATGCAGCCCATACGGCAGCCAATGCGATTCCCTTCCACTGCTTCCCCTTTAGCTGTCGTGCATACTGCTCTAGTCACGACCTCCCCCTTACGTGGAGGGTCGAGGGACTTAGTAAGTAAGTTATTTTACAGAGTTATAAGTATCATAACACCAATTAACGTCCCTTTTCGGGTACTTAGAACTCTATACAGTAACTACTTACTAAGTCCACCGATGCTCCAAGTAAGCCCTTGCAGCCGACCTCAACGTCTGGTTGTGTTGTCAAGCGACTGTTTGCCTCAGGTGAGCGAGATGATTGCAGACGTGGCGTCAATGCGGGCAAATGGCGATGCCGAAAAAAAGTAGGGGTCTAAGAGCATGTCCAGGCACTGAGGCAGCCATAAGATTCAGCATTAGGAGTCAGTGACCACGGTTTTAGACAACCGTAAACTAGAGGCTTACTAGTTTCTGCATCAGGATGCTCCCCTGTTGAAAGCCTGCCACATCCACGAGCATTCAACCCAAATAGCCGTCACTCTCAAGCCAGAAGTTGGGGTGCACTGTTACGAGTCTCATGATGTCCTTGGGGTTCGAAGGCTTGGAGGGCTTTTCGATGTCGGAGCACGTAAAGATAGTTGTTGCAAGACGGAAGATGTAGCTGTAGGACTTAGTCTCGGAGGTCCAGTGTTAAGGCACTGTAACTTATTGTATCAATAAGCGCAGAACCAGGTTGTATAGAGCACAGTGTGCTGCATTCGTCCAAGGTTGCGCAGGCAAGTTACAGGCTAGGTTCTCAGGCTCATAGCAAGCTTCCGCGCACAGGATAAACCATGAACGGGCAATAGAGCACCAAAGAAGTATGTAGCCAATGTAGCCACCATGGAGCACTGAGCTCTCCTTATCCCATTCTTTTTTCGGGTTTTACGTTGTCACTTCATGCACTAATTGGACCTTGAGTGTTGCATTTCACGCGCCTTCTGGGGAGAAGTTCCATGAGCCCAGTGCAGCAAAGCTTGCATCGGTCGATCGTGTATCTATATGGGTGGTTGTCAAAATTATGGTTTTTAGGCACCCTAAATATTAAGTGCCGTACCTAAAAAGGGATCAGAATTTTGACAACCGCCCACATGTTTGCCTAGGCAGCCATCTTGTAGCTCTCTCTGTCTCTGTCTCTCTCTCCTCTCACTCACTCACTCACTCACTCACTCACTCTCTCTCTCTCTCTCTCCCTCTCTTCTCCATCTAGTATGTGCACATGTGCAGCTACATAGATGCACACACATAACATTGCATACATGCTTATATATATATATATATATACACATACAGACACGCACATCCACAAGGACATAGCACAAAACCTGGAACAAAAAGTCAGTGTCTGACAGCAGCCATTCATTAGTCAAGAACTCGGTATCGCCCGGCCCGAGCGCTGAGAAGGAGCGGCTGCAGTCACTTTCTTTTCAGGGTCTGACCTGAAAGTATGCCTGGGGATCCAAAAACCTACTGTTTCGGGGGTTGGACCCTATAATAAAGGGGTCATAACCTATTATTTTGCAGGGTTTGGGGATACAGGTAAGGGTTAAAGAGACGGTTCGTTCGTTCGTGGTTGTGTGTGTGTGTGCGCATGTCTTCTACCTAGAGGCTCATACCCTACCCCTTTTTTAAAGGCGCCTACCTTTTAAGATAGCGGATCCTAACCATAAAACTAGGTATCTTAAAAAAAAGTGTTTGGGTATGAGCCTCTAGGTAGTTCAAAAATTCAGCATCTTCAGGCTTACTCCTCCGCCCTTCTCTCTCCCGGACTCAGACCTCGCCCCTCGGTTTAATCTGCAAGCCTCGCAACCTCCAAAGCAGAGTTTAGGGCTTCGAGCATTACTAGTATGAGATTATTCGAACTTTTCCGACATCGTGGTGGCCAGCTTGCAATGCTGCGCCATGAACGTGATGTCCAGCAATGCTGAGCCGTGAACCCGTAAGCCCCTCAAAGTAGTTGCTATACAAGTTTCGTTCCCCATAGCAAAGTGCTCTCTGCAAACCCTAAACCCTAAACCCCTAAACCCTAAACCCTAAACCCCTAAACCCTAAACCCTCAAGCATGAGTGCTCAAGTCTTACCTTAGGTCATTGAGGGCTTCGGGCTTGGGCCTGGGTTCAAACAGGCACTCGCACATGCAGGCAGCTTGCCCTAAAGGTCCAGAGAACCTAATAAATAGGTACATGGGTTTAGGATAGTATATAGTAAGTTATGTAGGTTACTATTTCGGAGAGTATATGAGAATGAGGTACTTTGGACCCTTAGGGTTAGCCAGCAAAGAGAAGCGCAAGTCTTGAGTAGCTGCAATAGCCAGCCGAGAAGACGCCACACCACACTCTGAAATACTTTGTCAAAAGCCGCGGATACGAGCCTTAAGCCCCGAACCCGAAATTCGGGCCCGCCAACCTCCATCAACTCTTCACAAAATGTTGTTCCAACTGCAGGAAAGCGCTTCTTCATGACTTTTCGTGACGAGCTCAACCGCCCACGTTCTTGATTTCTTATCGCCTCTTGCCAAACGCTTGCGACACCAGATGCTTGAATATGATAGGCGGCTTGGAAACTCCACTGGGTTTCAAGGTATTCTATCTTACATGTGATATGTGCTCATTCGGACGGCATGTACGGCAGAGCTGTTTGAGTTCCAGTGTAGACTTTTTGTAGTCCGATGGCATCCACGATTGAAGCGGATGTGATTGCTGGGTACATCAAATTGGCGAACTTAGAAGGCCTGCAGAAGTTTGCCGGACCTAGTTTCGACTGGAGCCAGCCACTCGATGACCAAAAGGTACCAGCTCTAGTACTGGTAATAAATGAAGGACTGGCAGAAGAAGACGTGAGGTGTGCAAGGTTCTTAAAAGTCGCTGAATGGCTGCTGCAAGCTGGAGCCGATCCAAGAGACAAGATTCCACAGCACAACACAGGGGGTTGGATCGTGTTCAAGAACGACAACGCAGAAGCAACCAACATTGGTGTTGACTATGCTGGGCACTCCGCTGTTTCCTATGCCTTCGCCTGGCTGGATCAAATGCAGCTGGGCAAAGGCGGTGCGGATTGGTCAGCGGAGCGAAAGTATGTGGAGGACATTGTGGCGCTCTTTGCAAAGCCGGCAGTTGGCACGAACTTCCGTGCTGCAGACGTCACCGTGCCTCAGCATATACTGGACTTGTGGGAGTCCATCCGGGACCTGACTTCCTCACACAACGTGATCTTCGAAGCTTCAGATGGCGAGGTTTCTGCCCACGACCATGTCCTTGCGGTAGCATCACCAGTGCTAAAGGCCATGCTCGAGTCTGCAATGAAGGAGGGCACCAGCCGGCGCATTCAAGTCAAGGATTCCTCGTCCTCCGGTGTCTCGCTCTTCCTCGATCTCTTGTACACCAGCTCTACTCGCGAGGACCCTGGCCACGAGACCATGCTTGTGGCCCTGGACTTGGGGCACCGCTGGCAAGTCCATGGTGTTGTGCAAACGGTATGCTCCGCACTGTGCGACATGATCGACGTGAAGAGCTTCGCGGCTATTGCAGAGGCTGCAGCTCTAAAGGGGCTGGAGACGCTAGTGAGAGCATGTACCTCTTTTGGCTCCACGAACAAGCAAGTGCAAGGAATGCTCAAGAAAGGTAGTCTCCCAGCAGCTGTGCGGAAGATGCTTGGAGAGCCTGAGCAGGCAAGCAGGGAGCATCATGAGCCGAAGAAGCGACGGCTTTTTCGCTGAACAGTAGTAAGCCAAATAGATCTTCTTACTTCTGCGGTAAGTGTTCAGGGATTACACGCTTTGTGCGTGCAGTGCTCCAACAATGTCGTTCCTTCTCGGAATCATTGAATCATGTGAAATAGTGAAACCATGCTGCTTCTAGATCTGCCAAGTGTCACTGTAGCCGTAATCCCCAACACCGTAACAACGAGGATGTGATATGGCCTGAGACAGTATTGCAGCCGTAGGGTATCGGATCCACAAATCAGCGAAGGCTTCTTCGGTTCGTCGCAAGGACTTCTATGGACTGGAAGTCGCCTCGAAAACCACAGCTGTTCGCTTCTAGCTTCGGGTTTCGGCATCTACGGTTGAGTGTTTAGGCGATTTTGCGGTTCTAGGTGTGTGTATTAGGCTAGAGTGTAAACTCAAGTCCTCAGATCCTCTGGATCTTTAAGCAGTTTCAATTTGTGGGCTCGGAGGGCATTCGAAAGCATAGGCTGCAAAAGCGGTTGCCAGTTGGTGGCCTTAGAATTATTCTCACTGTCCGTGAAGCTCCTGTTGTAGAGGCCTCAGGCATGAACTCTTAAAAGTTGTGAGCCCGAACACGTTGTTTTAGGGGTTTAGGGTTTAACTATAGTCTCCATTGTAGTTCCTTTTTTGGTTAACCAAAATCTCTATTGTAGGATCCTAACCATAAAACTGGTTACCAAAAAAAGGTACTATACGAGCTCTCGAAGTTTTGAAGCACGCCGTAAGCGGGCAAAACTTTACCCCTCCTCTTCCTAAGCCGGAATCAGCCTCCCTAAACCCTAAACCCTAAACTGCAATGCCCTCAGCTCCAAAAGCCTGAAGCGCCCAGTGTCGTTTGAGCGGTTCGATCCCGAGAATCTCGGAATCACGTATAACTTCGACTCAAATGTGCCTAGTGCCCATTCTCCACATCTTTTCGCCAAAGCTCTATAATTCCTAAACCTTAAACCCTAAACTCTGAACCCTAAACCCTAACCCTAAGCTCTCCTAATGGTGTTGGGTTCAACTACATGAGGTTCCTGCTTAAGGGGTTCAAGGTTTCTAAACCATAAGACCTTCACCTTTGAACCGGTCCGAAAAGAGCTATGACATGGTCCTACCTAGAGGCTCATACTTGGAGGGTCGAGGGACTTAGTAAGTAGTTATAATATAGACTTATAAGTACCTTAATGGGGACCCTAATTGGGGTTATGGTACTTATAACTCTATAAAATAACTACTTACTAAGTCCCCCGACCCTCCAAGTACCCTACCCCTTTCGGAGGGCGCCTACTTTTTAAAGTAACAGATCCTAACCATAAAAGTAGGTATCCTAGAAAGGGGTAGGGTCTGAGCCTCTAGGTAGACCATGATGCCCTAGTCAAAGGCTCCCACGGCCACAGTATAATTAGGGTTTTACGGTTAGGGTTTAGGGTTAGGTCCTGGAGTGTCTCCTATAGTCAGCGAGAACCTGCTTACATCTTTGTAGGGTCCCTATACCTTCGGTGATTGCACGGCTTAATTATTTGTTGTATAGGACCTTACCGAAGGATGCGTTGTGATAGCTTGGTTCAAGGTTGATGGTTCATGTATCCTGTGATGCTTACGGCAGGATGCCCTTCTGGCTCTCAGTGTCGTGCATCGAGCCACCTCACTAGCAACTGGGATCGTGTCTATTTGGTCTGAGCGGTAAGGCTTCAGTCACCTGCACTGCAGTGCGGTGCGACTGAGCACATGAGTGCAGCGTCCCGGGTCGCATCTGTCCTCCACGGCGCTGGGTCTACTTGCACTCTCTCGGATGTAGGCCAGTTTTTCCTGGTTACAGTAACCAGTACTCAATAGCCGCCTTTTCATGGTCAGGCTCTCCTGATAAGGAGACTTGGTAGCCAGAAAACCGGTACTTCTATGAATTCTATATGGATGGTAGATGCGGAATGAACAGGGCTTGATTAAGACATTTATGCTATCGGTCGTTGTAACGAGTTTGTCGGCAGCCCCGGCCTACATGGACATGGCCTACGATTATTTTCTCAAACCCTTAAAGGCCCTAAACCGGTTACGACCGCTTGCAAGGCATACCCGAAACCCAACATGCTGAACCGATGTATTTCAGGTGACAGTCCGCACATGCATGGCCAACATTGCAGGATTGAGGTGGCGATTTGCACAGACCTGATGCGTCGCAGTGCTTCTGCGTGGCTCAGTTTAGCATCCAACCTATCTCGATAGAGGGAATTGTACCCAGTTTGACAGTCCCTTGGGTTCTCTTCCTTTTGATGCTTCGAAGCGGCACTGGATACTTTAGGTCGGGTTTACGAGCGCATCAGGAGTCTGGGTGTCGGGTCTACGGGTTGGATTTGCCGGAAAGGGCGGGCGCAGGAGTGAGGGCCGCTTGCTGCCAGCCATGACTGCGACGATTGATGCAGAGATGGTGCTCGGTCTCATTGAAATGTGCGATCTGGCAGCGTTGCAGGAGTTCAGCCCGCCTGGTTTTGACTGGGCAGAGCCGTTAGGCGAAAACGGGCTGCCTGCACTCATGCAAGCAATCGTCGCAGGCCTTACTGAGTCAAAAGCTACAAAGGTTCAATGCCTGGCGATCGTGGAGTGGCTGCTGCAGGTTGGCGCTGATCCAGCACAGAGGGTTTCAGACGATAACGGATATGCTCATAGCCTGTACAATGAAGAAAAGAAAGCGACAACAGAAATTAAAGTTGAATATGCTGGCCACTCTTCAGTGTCGCTTGTTGTTGCATGGCTTCGGCAGATGAGGTTGGGCAGAGGCAATGCTAAGTGGTCAGACGAACAGAACTTTTTGAAACGAGTCATGGCTCTTGTTTCGCGTTCGGCAGCTGCTAAGAATCCCCGAGCTGCAGATGTCACCGTGCCTCAAAGCACCTTGGATTTGTGGGAGTCCATTCGGGACCTGACTTCCTCACACAACGTGATCTTCGAAGCTTCAGATGGCGAGGTTTCTGCCCACGACCATGTCCTTGCGGTAGCATCACCAGTGCTAAAGGCCATGCTCGAGTCTGCAATGAAGGAGGGCACCAGCCGGCGCATTCAAGTCAAGGATTCCTCGTCCTCCGGTGTCTCGCTCTTCCTCGATCTCTTGTACACCAGCTCTACTCGCGAGGACCCTGGCCACAAGACCATGCTCGCGGCTCTGGATTTGGCGCACCGCTGGCAAGTCCATGGAGTCGTGCAGACACTGTCTGTTGCACTCCGTGGCATGATCGATGCCAATAGCTTCGTTGCTATCGCAGAAGCTGCAGTGCTGAAGAGTCTGGAGACGCTGGTGAGAGCATGTGCCTCTTTCGGCTCCACAGATAAGCAGGTCCAGGCGATGCTCAAGAAAGGCGATCTCCCGGTACCTGTTCGGAAGCTGTTGGGAAACCCTGAGCAGGACTGTGGTGAGCAGCGAAAGCCGAAGAAGCGACGGCTGTTCCGCTCCTCATGAAAGCCTTTTGCTTCTCAGGCGCCATGTCCTACATGTAACCCTAGATACCATCGCTGGGTGTGACTTTGCCCAATGGTTTCAACTGATCGACTTTGTTTCAAACGACTGCCGAGTTGTAGTCGGCCTATGCAAGCTGCGAGAGCTTGCCGAAGACAGCCTGCGTCTGGCAGATATGACACGCCTGCAAAGTCGGTTGTGACCATTGTTCAGGGTTGGGAATCGCACTCAGGCAACACGTACCTCGCCATTTGTTAATACACGGCCCCGCCACGCGCCCTTTAGGTTTTAAGTTTTAAGCCCCACACCTCTATCTCCTCTCTGGTGCTTAGTAGGGAATGGGGGAATGGATCCCTAAAGGAGCCCCTATATAATGTCCAACAATAGTCCCGACAACCCATTCCCCCATTCCCAACTAAGAACCAGACAGATTACTAAGAACCCTAAATCCATATAGTTAAACCCTTATAGTAACCCTAGAACCCTAAACCCTTAACCGTCTGAAGGCTGGTGTGCCGAAGTACTCCCCGGACATGCGACAGAAACGCGACCGGGAACTCCCAAACATAACTTAACCCTAACCCAGACCCTCAAGAATCTACTTTTTGAGGGTTCCCTAGTATGGGTTCCTTATATATGTCCTTGAAAAGGTAGGTTGTTTGGGGTTAAAGAAGGGTCTGGGTCTAAGGACTCATGTGTTAAGGCTTTTGGGCCCAAAGGCCATACTATATAAGACTTTGGGCTATTTTGAGCCTCAGGGTAAACTTTGACATGAAGCCTGAACCCTAACCGAACCTTCTCAGCTAAACCCCGTGCATACCTCATAAGTTCCTAGAGTACCTAATAAAGAAACCCCATACAATTTACAAGCGCTCCCAGAGCCCTTAGGTAACTCCCTAAACCTACTTTTTGGAGGTTCATGGGTAGTTACAAGTTTAAAGTTATAAGTCCCCTAATATGGGGTTATAACTATAGTTATCCTACTTAAAAGGCTACTTACAACTACCCATGAACCTCCAAGTAAACCCTAAACCCTATACCCTTACAGAATCCCTATAGATCCCTTTAATGGGACCCTTAAAGGAACCCTCATAGCCGAACTGGGCTTTTCGTGTTCCTTAGGTCTGCTCCGGGCGGCCCGCTTTGCCAGCCGGACGAGCGCAGTCCGGGCGAGTGCGCTGGCGGTGACTGCCGGATCAGGCGCTGCTGTTGAGGGTTTAGGGCTCCTTCAGGGATCTATAGGGTTCCTTAAAGGGATCTATAGGGTTTATAGGGCTTTTTAGGGTTGAGGGTTTAGGGTTTGCGGGTTGAGGGTTTAGGGCTTATAGGTTTTAGGGTCGGTTTAGGGTTTTAGGGTTAGGGGTTTAAGGCTTCGGGTCGGTTTAGGGTTTACCTGTATCCCCAAACCCCACAACATTACTTGTATATCATGACTTCTTTGGTAAGGGTTTAACCCCTAAAACGAAAGGTTTGTGGATCCCGAGGTGGGGTTAAGGGTTTTAGGGTTTTTTACGGTGTTAGTTTGGGCTTTGTATTGTTGTTGGGTCATGAGTGTGTGTGTGTGTGTGCTTGTTGTTACATCACCTTCCAAACCAAACCTTCCAGAGCTCGTTGTAAGTTTCCTGCTACGAAAGCAAACACAGTAAGAACTACGGAGAGTGGCAGTTCGAACAGTTAATAGCAGACGGTGCGAGGCACTTGCGGTTCTAATGTGTCGCAAGAGCACATGTTACAAAGTATGAAGATCTGATGAAACGAGGCCGGGGTATGCAAACTACTGGTGCCACTTTGTGAGCGAAGGTCAGGCATTCTGGCAGTGATCTAAGAACTTGTGATGGTATTATCTTTAGGTACCTTCCCGCGATAATAATTTCCTGAACCCTTAAACCTATAACTCCTAAACCTACACACCCGAATCCCGCATACTGTCGTCCCAAAGCCCCCAGTCCCCGACCTCCACATGTTCAAGGCCCTTAAGCTCGTCTTTTGGGGCTCGGGGTTCAGTTCAGGGATACCTATAGTCTCCATGGTAGTTCTTGTTGAAACCATCACGTTTGAGACTCTGGATAACCCAAAACCTCCACACGCTCAAAATCCCCAAACCCTATAAACCCAGGGTTCAGGGGTAACTCTAGGCTTAGCTGCAGCCGAAGAGACCTACCTTCTCGGGGTTCCTTATTATGGTTTCTGGATAATAATAGTTTCTTTAAAATGTAGGTCTTATGGTCCACCGGTAGGCTAAGGACCCCCATGAGTTGAGAGGGGTAAGTTGCTTCCGCTGGTTGGGCTGAAGTGTTAAAGATAGGCTTTAGGGGTGAGGGCTTTCAAAATGTGGGTTAAAGGTTTAGGGTTAAATGTTCAGGGTTGGAACATTGGAGGGTTTGATTTGTTGGGTTTTCGCAAGGATTTAGGCTTCAGGTACAGAAGTCATCGGAGTCAAGACCACCCAGTTTGCACTCTCTTGTGCCAGCATCCCTGCTGAAGAAGCCCGCCTATGCTCCGGCGTCCTGTCTGGAGCCCAGACACATGTGCCAACCGGGTGTCGGTAACAGTCGGTCTGTCGGAAGAGGTGTGTAAGACATGGGCAACATGTTTGAGCCTTTCAGTTCGGGCTTTGGAGATCGTAGGTGTGAAACTAAAACTGTGGTTTGCGCTGTAAGGTTGTTTAAGTGACTCTTCGGGGCTTGAGGTCTGGGCAACGGAGATGAGCAGTTTAGGGGCTTATGGCTTTGTAGGTGTTGGTGCGCACCACAGGATGCTCTGTCCCAAGCGGTTCGCTCCAGCCTCCAAGGCCAAATGAGCCCACACAAAGGTCATCAACAGATACAGAGAATTAAGCCCAACGCCTTGAAGCCCCTGCTAGACACTCCTCGCCACTGCAGAACCCTAAATCTTTGGGAAACCCTAAACTCTAAGTCGTGGAAGTTCTGTCCAGCTGCTCCCTCATCATATGAAAGGGCTCTTGAGCTCCCTAGCCAGCAGTGTTTCGGAGTTGTCGGCCAGCATGATTTCGATTCGTCGAGTTTCAACGTAGCTTCAGCACCCGCGGTTTGGTGATGCCGACAAGGGGCCTAAAGCAAGGACCCTAAAGCTTCAGGGATTCTGCAAGTTGAAAGATGGGAATCACGGGTCTCTGAGCCCCAATTTGCATGGTGTGCACTGCAATCAATTGGCGTTACCATAAGCAGAGGAAACATACACTCCCAACGTCTTAGGGACATGCCTTGTAGAAGGTACGTTAGCTACTTTAGGTGGGGTCTGAAAGAGTATGTTGATTCGACTTAGGGTTTGGACTTCTTTCTTTGATGTGAGCCACTGTGAACTGCTGTGCACACCTTCGCGCCTCTCAGCTGGCCCTACAGGGTTTGCGGTTTCTCGGACCTGTATATATTGCAGAGCACATTTTCGCGCGGGGTCTTCATATATAGCCGAAATTAGGTTTTCAACTGACCCGACACAGCAAGTAATTAACTTTGTCAGCTTAGGATAGATAGCACTTGTTTCAAAGCCGTGACCATTATTATAATGAAACTAACCGATGCTAATTTCACACAGCACTGCACACCCAAACCCCAAACCCTGAAACCTAAACCCCCCAAACCCTAAATCCCCAAACCCGAAACCCTATGAACCGTGTAATTAAGCCCTCAAACCGTGACCAGGCCAGGGAGAGAAGCCTTGGGATCAACTGCGAGCAGCGCTGCCCGACAGCGAGGTCCCGGTGCCTGTCCGTGTTGCTGCTTTGGGATAAGGGAACCCAAAGGGTCCTAGGTACTGTTATGGGGAATACCTCCCCAAATCATAATAGTAGTTCCTAATATAGAAACCCTACAGTCTACCATATAGGTACTTTGGACCCTTTGGGGAATAAGGGTTTAGGGTTTAGGGTTTAAGGGGCTTTGGGCGCGCCCAGAGACTCCAAAACCCTTTCACTGTACATAAGCAGTACACCACAAGTGCTAGAGGATCCTTGATATGGGTGACTGTCAAAATTAGGGTCCCTTTTTGGGTCCCTATTATTAACGGACATCAGTCGGTCGTTTGCATGAAGCACTCATTGGTCCCTATTATAGTACGGCACCTATTATTTAGGGTACCCGAAAAAGGACCATCCAATTTTGACAACTACCCATATATGATGATGACTAGGGTGTACTATATTCCTTGATCGAACGCTCTCGGAGTCTCTGGGCGCTTTAGGGCGCTGAATCTGCACCCAACGATCACCTCCTGTGCAGCTTGTACACCCCCCAAAACCTTTTCCTAACTCAGGATATCCTGAAGGTACTGCAGCCCCGCAACGGCCCAAGATAGTCAAGAATGCCAATGTCTGACACTGGGCACTCGGAGTCTAATGGAGGCTACATGGAGGGTCTAGGAAGAATTTTTAGGGTTTGGTGTGAGGGGTTTAGGATTCGGGGGTTTGGGGTTGCGCGCTTAGAGGTTGAGGGGTTTTGGATTTTGGAGGTTTCTCGTGTTTTTGACGACCCAGACTCAAACCGTAAATCCTGAAATCCAAAAAGCTTCTGCAAGGGCGCGAGATGAAGGAGACTGCCCCTTTCGTTTTTGCGCTGATGCCTCGTTCGATCTCAAGGGTTGCATGGAGCTTTCCAGTTCACACCTGGAGTCTGAACTCGGGATTTCCAGCAGTGCGGAGCTCGCGGGAGCTAGGGTTTCAGTGTTTAGGGTATAGGGTTTCAGGTTAAGTTTTGGGCAGCCAGGGTTGGCAGCAGAACTCGCTCTCAAGGCATCGATGGCAGCGATGCTTGGTGCCAATGTGGTTCATGGATTCGTCACCATCCGTGATTTGGAAGGCTTACGGGCCTTCGCGCCGTGTAGCTTTGACTGGTCTCAGCTTCTGGGCGAACACAAACGGCCTGTACTATTCTACTTTGTTGACGGCGAGAGCCTGTGTGAATCGGAAGCTGAGAGAAATCATAGCCTCAAGATGGTAGAGTGGCTCCTGCAGGTCGGCGCTGATCCACAGCAGCGGCTACCTGCCGCTGAAGGGTCGTTTTGGCTTCAAAAGGGAAGGGACAAACCAGACACACAGATCGAGGTTCGCTACGGTGGGCATTCCGCCCTTTCGCTTGCTTTTGCATGGCTTCGGGAAATGAAGAAGCGCACAGGTAACGCGGACTGGACAAGACAGGAGCAACACCTGAAACAGGTCATTTCTCTTTTCTCGCGCTCATCCTCCCAGCAGACTCTCAATGGTGCAGATGTTGCCGTGCCTCAGAGTATCGTGGATTTGTGGGAGTCCATGCGGGACTTGACCGCATCGCACAACGTGATCTTCGAGAGTTCAGACGGAGAGGTGGCAGCAAATGAGCACATCCTCACCGTCGCTTCTCCGGTTTTGAAGGCGATGCTCGAGTCTGCAATGAAGGAGGGCACAAGCAAACGCATTCAAGTCAAGGATTCACCGTCCTCAGGCATCTCGCTGTTTCTGGATGTTCTGTACACGAGCTCGACGCGCGAAGACCCCGACCATGAGACCGTTCTTGCTGCCGTGGACTTGGCCCACCGCTGGCAGGTGCATAGCGTCGTGCAGATCCTGTGCACTGCGCTGCATGGCATGATCGATGCCAACAGCTTCGTGGCTATCGCAGAAGCTGCAGTGCTGAAGGGGTTGGAGACGCTAGTGCGAGCATGCACCTCCTTCGGCTCCACGGATCAGCAGGTGCAGGCGATGCTAGAGAAAGGCGATCTCCCGGTGGCTGTTCGGAAGCTAGTGGGGAAGCCTGAGCACGAAAGCCGGGAGCAGCAAGAATCAAAGAAGCGGCGGCGGTTCCGATCTTCATGAGCAAAAGTTGTTTCCTCGAGCATCATGCTCTTTTCCACAGCTATAGTTCTCCTGGCTGAATTGCCAAGCCAACGGTGCAGCGCACATTTTGGACTGCTCGTCAGGCATGCTTCCATATCAGAAGGTAGAAAGGAAACTTCTTTACCAAAAGTGGGGCTCTCTGGCGCCACGATGTTGCCTCTCAGCTGAAACTCCAAAAATGCAGTGCATGATAGATCCCTCTAACCGCAAACTTGAACCCCTAAGGCATAACGCCGAATCCCCAACCCCAACCCCTAGACCTAAATGGAAGTTATCCCTAAAGCACCCCATCTTGAGATTGTGTTAGTTAAGTTTAGAGTTTCAAATCTTGGGGCTTTCTTTACTTAGGCTTCAGGATTTAGGGCATAGAGCCTTTGCTGTGTAGGACAGCTTTGGAGCTTCAGGCTTTGGATCCCCAACTAGAGATCCCCGGATGAACAAGCCCACCCTCCTTTGGGTTTAGGGTTTAGGGGTTTAGGGTTTAGGGTTTATCCAGGCCGATCGTAGGGAACATCAAAGGACTGGTCTACATCACGGTTGGGTTTGGGCTGAAGGTCTCAACACTCTGGGCCCCCTAAACCCTATAAACCCTTAACCCAAAACCCTAAACCCTAACCCTAAACCATAAACCCTAACCCTAAACCTTGAAACCCTATTGTGAGCCATGACAAAGACAGACCAAGGATCCATGTTTCGAGGTCTACAGTCTACAGTCCCAAATAATATCTAGTACCGAATCGAAAGATCGCCAAAAACCCGATTGTAATCAGTATAAGGTCCCGAAATTCAGGACCCTTTGGATTGTATAGTCAGATCCGGCACCTTCGCCGCTGATCGAAATAGCTCATTTTAAGAGGATCTGTTTGTCAGGGCCCGTGTTTTGTTTGTGGCATTGGCGTATCGTGGATTAGGCCTCCAGCTTGATTCATATTGGAGCCGAGGATGCTGATGGATTTCGCATTCGTGTCCCCTAAGGCTCAAAATGGCCCAAAAGCCTTATATAGTATGGTCTTCGGGCCCAAAAGCCTTAATATATGAGTCCTTAGATCCCTATAAGCCCTGCAGATCCCTTTAGAGGACCCCTTATAGATCCCCTTAAAGGAACCCCAGATGAGTCCTTGGGGCCTTGGGGTGTCGTATTGGAGATTCGGGACTTTAGCTTGGGGGCTGGTCTAATTCGCCCTAAACAAACCCTACCTTAACCCTGAAGAACCTACCTTTTTAGGGTTCCCTATTATGATTTCCTTATGTAAGTCCCTGAAAAGGTAGGGTTCTCAGGGTTAAGGTAAGGGTCCACGTACCCAAATAGTATATCCTTTGGGGCCAATGTACTTGTATAGGGACTACTTTAAAGCCAAAGTATGTACTATTTGGGCACATGGACCATTGTGGTCATGTTCTTATAGGGTTGATGACCCGAAAACAGCATGCTATGTAGCGTCTGTTTGGATTGACCTTGACTCGTCAGGAGCCTGAATGCCGAACCTATCATCAACTTCTCGAGTCTTACTGCAGACGCATGTTTGAATTCCGCATAATAGGTTCTAGCGTTTCCAAGGTTCCGTTTCGAGAGTTGGTACCGGTGTTAACGTGTACCAGCAGAACTCACATTCCAAAGCACGTTTCTTTGGCTGCATATCCCATTTGCTGAAGCTGTAAAGCCTCCACGGAGAAAATTCCAGTTTCAATTGGAGCCTCATTTTCCGTCAGGGCCTCGTACCCTTTGGCCAAAGCATCTCCTTGGGCAGTCTGCCTGACGCCAAGATAGGCGGAAAGGGCGTAGGATTTATTGTTATAGGTTTTGAAAATGAAATGTTTTGTAGTTGTCTAGATTCTAAGGTTGAGTTCAGGATTTGGGGGCTAATCCTATGCTTCCAGGGACCTTATTATTGGGTCCTTGAGGGGTCTAGAGCCCTAACAAGAAGGTCCTTGGAAGCATGGGGTAATATTAGGTTCAGGGTTGCAGGTTTCGGGTTCACGTATGGACGTAGGGCGTTCCATTTGCTCTATACTGCCTGATTTTATTTGCGACGAGGGTAGCTGGAGCTGGAAACGATGATTCCATGCTGGGTAGTTTAGCATTTGACAAGCTGTGCGGGAGGCCACTTGCAGCGATTGGTTAACGTGAAACTTGGAAGAAGCCCAAAGCCCAATACCCTATTTAAAGCCAAGACTCTAACCCCAGCAAGTGAAACGTAATTATTATAGGGGCCTAAACAATGGCCAATACTATTTTGGGGGGTTCCTTAATAAACCTAAAACCTCATTTTACTTGTAACGTCCCTATATTAAGCTCCAAACTCCAAGACGGCAACATGACCGTAGAGACCCGAGAACCCAAGACTCTAAGTCACGAATAGGGGGAAGCCTTGGGCCCTCCCGGTCTCCTTCAACTTGGAGGGTCGGAGGACTCAGTAAGTAGTTGTTATTATAAATTGTAATCTAACTACTTAGGAAGTCGCCCGACCCTATCAAGGGTTCACCGTATAAGGGCCCAGAGAGCCAAATCGTCGTCCCGTCACGAGCAAAGCCCGAAGGTTCCCTGCAAGACCCTCAAAAACGTAAGGCCCCAACGCCACTCAGTCCCTAAATGCCCTGCCAATGTAAAACTCACTAACAAGCCTTACAGACCCTAGCCGTAAACCCTGAACCCCAGGCGCCCTAAAGGTTGAACTCTCAACCCGAAGCTCGCAACCTTATTCCAAAAACAAACTGCCCTGAACCAAGGTTTAGGGGTTAGTGTTTACTCGCTTAGACCTTACCCTAACCCAAACCTTCCCAAGACCCCGTTATTGAGGTAACTGGGGGTTGGTTCCCACAATCATCGGGAACCATAACGTTGGTTCCTACTCCACTTGCTGTTTTCGACGATTTCACGATGCAAATCCAAGTATGATCACATAATTCTTGATTGCTCCTCGACTTTTCACTCTTTCGGTTGAAATTACCCACTCCAGAAGCAAGCCCATGCATCTCCAAAAACTATACCTGATAGGATGGCTTATAGGTTTGGGGGTTACATTTAGTTTCAATTGTATACAAGCTTAGAGGATTCGGATAGTGTCGTGATTGATTATTGTGTCGCAAAGCTGCGACTTTGGCGTCCGGAGGACTGGCTTGCATGTTTTCTGGATCTAGTGCTATGCTTCTGAGAATCTCCAAAAGTTACATGGTTTAGGGTTTCGGTATGAATTGCGGTTCGACATACATATATATATATATATATAAGGAATATATCCTTCGATCTTATTAAATATGTATTGGTTAATGGAGTGTTGCAAAGCTGCGACTTGGCTTCCGGAGCGGAGCCGGAGGCATGTGTTTGGGATTTAGTAGTGTTCTATTATGGGCTATAGGCTTTTGAAGCTTTTCGGGAAGTCAGGGTGGGAGAGCTCTTTGGTCATGCGGGGATTTGGGGGGGCCACGGCTCTCGGGGGGCCTTTATGGGAGCCTGTTTGGGCTCATGCGGGGATTTTGGGGGCCACTGTGGGGGCCTGGGAGAGCTGTTTGGGCTCATGCGGGGATTTGGGGGGCATGGTGGGGGCCTGGGAGAGCTGCCTGCGGGGCCTGGGAAAGCATGCCTCCTGTCAGAAAATTCTGGCCGGGTGCCCAAAGTGGGGGATGTGGCTATTACGGTTCCCACTCTTTCTGTTACGGTTCCCACTCGTTCTGTTACGGTTCCCACTCGTTCTGTTACGGTTCCCACTCGTTCTGTTACGGTTCCCACTGCCCTCCCGGACACCCTGAAGTTAAGCACCCCCAACTTAAACACCCCGAATCTATATATCCGGAGAGATCTCATCCCCAAGCACAAACCCCGGCCAGATGCCCTGAAACCCTCCGTAGCCTTCCTGTAACATCCCAGTCCCAAATAAGTTCTAGAACGCTACAAGACAGTACATGCTTTCAGTAAACCACCGAGCGCTGCGGCTGCTGCTGCTACCCTTTACGACTAGCTAGTACTACTGCTACTGGTGCTACTGGCTGCTGCTGCCGCTGCTACACTACCACTACTACTCCTGCTGATGCAGCTGCCACTGTTTACGACTACTAGCCGACTACTACGACTCTGCTACTCCAGCTATGCTACTACTACGACTCCTGCTGATGCTGCTTCTCCCTGGCTACCCACACGACTACGTAGTAGTACTACTACGACGACAACCAGGACTGCTCACGCTGCTGCTACCCTTACGACTACTAGTATACTGCTGCTCCCATGGTATTATTAAAACGTAAGTGTGTATCTGCTATAGGATGCAAGCTGGTCCACACACGCGAAATCATGATAGAAATGCTTGGCAGTCTTTCCTCCCACATGCCTGCTTGATCAGTCACATTCACCTCGAAACAAGCTTGAAACCTGTACATGTCACAAGAACATACAACAAAATATATGCAAATAGGGCACCTATTTCCCCAAAACAGGCTTTTGCAAGCTGCGGTTTGCACGGAATGGCTGAAACATACCCTTGGCAACCGACCAAACCCGATACAGGCCATTATGACATATTGGTTCCTAGCCGATGTTTCGGTTACAGACCATTCTGGTAACTGACCCGGTTACACAAATATCGGGTAACCGGACGGCTTGGGTAAGGCCCCAAAGGAGTTCATTTTGGGGTTTCATATTAAGAATCCCATAAGGTAATCCCCAAAAGGAACTACTTTGGGGCCTATGGGTAAACACCAAACACCAGGCAAGCACAACCAATCCCTTGCACAGTAAGGATGGGCTTCTGTTCCGGTTTCGCACTGAAGAAGGCATCGCCCACGGTTCAGGGTTTAGGGTTTGCCCAAGCGGGCAGAGAGGGGTTTGATGTAGTGTTTTTATCTCCAGATTTTCTCAGGGTTCTAATTAAAAATCGAAATCATAAGGTCCTATGATCCATAGGGAGCTTATCGGGTTCGGGATTTATGTTTCGGGGTGTCGGGTTTTGGGTTCCGGGCTCGGGGCTAGGGCTTTAGGCTTTAGGGTT